TGAGAGAGTGTAGGACATATTAGATTTCATAACAAATCTTCAGATCTAGCTGCCAACAAAGCAGTGCTTCCTACGAAAGAGAGGGTGATTGTATATATTAGTGTATTGACTGCATCTCCTTGTTGGATTATAGAAAATTGAACTATTTAATAAAGGTTTAAGTAATCTGCAGAATTAGTTCAAAGTAGCTGTGACCCAAAAATCACTAAGGCCAAGAAGAGCCAAGAAAGTGTCGGGACTTTTTCCAGTTGACTCGAACTAAAATGACAAATTTCATCAGATCATTATCTAAAAATCAATTACTATTAATAATACACCTCGTGTTAATAATAGAGAATAAGTTATAATAGATAATATAGAGAAACAAATCCAAAATTGGAATATACTAAAAATACCTATAACAAATGTTTATAGTAAAGGGACTTTTTATTTCAAAAGTAATTTTTCCATAAAAACAATCGAAGGAAGTATTTCTCTTATGGAAACTCAAGACAAATTTCAATTACTTTTAGAAAGAATGATCAAAGATCATAAAAGAAAGATTATAAATATTTGCATATTGGATTAGTTCAAATAGCTGTCAAACTATTGACAAGAACGAGATTAAATAATTATGTTTTACTCTGTTTAAGAGATAGTCGACACAAAAGATTCACTGATGCTTTATTATGAATAATCGAATCTAGTCTCTATAATGGCCCATTTAATTTAAACTGAATATACAAGTTATGTGAATTTTTTGTATTATGGTATGCAAAAACTTCATCCAAAACTTTTATGTATTCGAAGTAGTGATAAGATTTGATTTTAAATCATTTTGTATTGGTGATCCTTGGTTTTAAAGGATCTAATCCCCATTATTGGTAAGAAATAACCTTTTTTATTTGGAATTTGGAGTATGATATTTAGGAGAACTATTATTGAAAGACTCAATAAAACTCCAAACCAAGTTCAACTACCAGTCTACAGAGTAGACACTATTGAATCTTCTGAATTAGGAGAACCAACACCTTCTGATCTTGATTTTGATATATGTGTGGAACAAAAGGAAGAAGAATTCAAAATTGATAAAGAATGGATCAAAAATGATTTCTTCTTTGATGAAAATAGACAAATAAGAGAATGATTCTTCAAAGAGTTTAAAGAACCTCTTCGGGATGCCTTCTATTTAAAATTTAACAGGTTCATGATAAAACATAAGGCAAATGTCAAATTCTATTTTTAGAGATTTAATTTTATTTTGTATCTCGGGAAGTAATAATTTTTCTACTATATTTTTATATTTTATTTCTTCTTTTAGATGATAAAGAAATTTTTTTTTGGAAGAAATCTTATCCCTGATATTATTAATCTCATGGATTCTAGGCTTGTCAATAAAAGTGAATTTAACCTTATGTCCTTCAAAATTAGCTTCTATTCCTGTATCATCAATTTTAATTGGATGAATCATGTTTAACAAGGGAGTTTTTAGAATAACAGGTTGATTAAATAATTATTTTGTATAATTATTTTGTTCAATAATATGTGGTATTCCTTCAAGCTTGGCCATATTATGGTCAGCTTCTTTAGGTCCTATTTAAAAGGGTGAGGCTTTAACTTCAATTTTCTCTCCGAACTTTTCTCGCTTAAGTTGTAAGCTAGTTTCAGGGGGATGAATATACACAATTGTTTATCCTTTCGTGGTTTGAAAAGTTTGAAAGATTTTTCAACCGTATTTATTTCAAATTTTGGAATTTTTATTCCATAGTCTTCAGCTATGTATTTTAACCATTTAAAGAATTCGACGTTTGCCTTATGTTTTATCATGAACCTGTTAAATTTTAAATGGAAGGCATCCCGAAGAGGCTATTCAAACTCTTTAAAGAACCATGCTCTTATTTGTCTATTTTTTTTAAAGAAGAAATCCTTTTTGATCCATTCTTTATCAATTTTGAATTCTTCTTCCTTCTGTACCACATATATATCAAAATCAAGATCATAAGGTGTTGATTCTCCTAATTCAGAAGATTCCGGAGTGTCTACTCTGTAGACTGGTTGTTGAACTTGGTTTGGAGTTCTATTGAGTCTTTCAATAATAGTTCTCCTATGAGTGGGTATTCTTTCATATTCAGATTGTGGAACTGAAGATGTTGAACTTCTAGGAGGATCTCTAATATTTGAATTATCAATCATTAGTGTAGTCCTTCTTGAAGATGGAAAACGAATTCCTATTTCTCTGTCTGTGTATTCTATTATTTGTTTTGAATTTTTATCTTCAGGAACTTTAATCTGAGTTTCATATTGTAAAACCCAACACTCTGGTAGTCTACCTGAGACTATGCCACTGATTTGGGTATGACTAAATTTGATTTTTCCATATTTGTTTGGAAAAATATAGTTTGTCCTTTTAAGTCCATTTGTCTGGCATTTGGGCATAAAGTATTCATTACTTTATAACATATTCTATAAACAAATGTAAAGTTTTGAGAACCAGGTCCATATCAAAACCTTGCGTTTTTAGGTTTAGAGTTAAGACTTTTAACAAATTTGGATCGGTTAAGGCTACAGAGAAATTTGGAAAACACGTAAAGTATATTGGGCCATTACAAAGACTGGATTCGACTATTCCTAATAAGAATCAGTGAATCTTTTGGGTCGACTATCTCTTAAACAGAGTAGAACAGAATTATTTAATCTCGTTCTTATCAATGGTTTGACAGCTATTTGAACTAATCCAATATGCAAATATTTATAATATTTCCTTTTATGATCTTCGATCAATTATTTCTAAAAGTAATTGAAATTTGTCTTAAGTTTCCATAACAGAAATACTTCTTTCAATTGTTTTTATGGAAAAACTACTTTTGAAATCAAAAGTCCCTTTACGATAAACATCTGTTAGGTACTTTTGGTATATTCCAATTTTGGATTTGTTTTTCTATATTATCTATTATAATTTCTTCTCTATTATTAACATGAAGTGTATTATTAGTAATAATTGATCTATTAGATAATGATTTAATGAAATTTGTCATTTTAGTTCGAGTCATCTGGAAACAGTCCCTACATTTTCTTGGCTCTTCTTGGCCTTAGTGATTTTTGGGTCACAGCGACTTTGAACTAATCCCGCAGATTTCTCAGACCTTTATTTAATAGTTCAATTTTATATAATAATACAGTTAAACCACTGTAGAGTAACTTGGCTCTGATACCCTAAGCAGAAGCAACATATGAAAACAAACTATCATAAAATTGTCATAAACTTAAACTGTAAACAAATATAACATGAACAAGCTGCAAATATATAAGCACAATAAATAACTATAAAAACTTACATTTCCCAGACGAGAATATGCAACAACAAGACTTTAATTGCTAATCTTAACTACTTGAACTCCAAGAGAAATCACACATATACTTAAGCACTCATCAATCTCTCACACATTTACAGACTCAAAAAAAGGAAAACTAGATGGTTGGATACACCTCCAGATATATCCACTAAGAGAGAGAAAGAGAAAGACGCAAAAGAAGGATGACTTGTAAACAACTCCGCTTCTTCTTCTTATAGCCAGAGGAGTTAGGCAGATTTGAAATCCACACCGACAATCTTTTCCAAGATGCTTATCTACTTTAGTCAGCTTTTTGTAGTGGCTACAGTCTGCTTTAGTTAGCTATTTGCAGTGGCTACAGTAAAAAGGAGATCCTGTCGGTGACGGCTATAGTAGACAGTCGGTTCTGTCGGTGAAGGGACACGTGTCCTAGATATGGGTGGAGTCGTCCAGGTCCCTCTGTGAATTTTTTTTACTTTTAAGAAAATTCAATGCCTGCACAGTCATCACCGTTCATTGGACTGTAGTTTTCTTGTTCATCACTTTGAGTAGAGGTAGACATTTTTTTATTGTCTTCTATAGCACTCCAGAGCTTTCTTGTAAGCTATTCTTTATATAGTTTAAGGCTTTGTTGCTGTAATATTGCAACATATTCTGCTATTTTCATTTTTCCTTTTTGAAATGAAACTGAAGATATAAGTTTTTTTTTTTTTTTGTCTGGACTGAGGGATTCATTTTTATAACTATCACACCATTTGATGTATATTTGTCTCTTTACTTTAGGAATATAATCCCACCTATCCATAGGATCTTCTGAGATTTGATAATCCCATTTTAAAATCCACGGGACTTGATATAATATCATAAAATATATATGATAATCTCTTTTAAGACATTGACTATTGTAATTAGAGAATTTTCTCTGTGAAATTTATAGATTTGTAGGTAGAATTTGATTTGATGATCCCCATATAGAGAACCAATTTTTAAACTAAGTGAGAAACTCATTTGGCTTAGTTAATTTAAACTGAATATACCAGCTATGTGAATTTTTTGTATTCTGGTATGCAAAAACTTCATCTCGAGCTTTTATATATTCGAAGTAGTGATAGGCTTTGATTTTAAATCCTTTCGTATTGGTGATCCTTGATTTTAAAGGATCTAGTTCCCATTCTTGGTAAGAAATAACCCTTTCCATTTGAAATTTGAAATATGTTATTTATGTATCATTGTTTCGGTAATATTATACTATAAATACCGAACATGTTTCCATAAGGATATTTTCATATCATTCTCTGCATCTTTCATTCATATTGGGATGCATATGTTGCCTTAAATATATGACAGCTACTTCAATCGGGTTTTTCAACTAGTGGTTATTTTCTATAATCAGCAAAAGAATATATGTTGTTTCCAAGTATGTGGTTTTAGTACTAAGAGTTTGAGTACTTATTGGTGTTTGAAGGGGAGATATATCAATATCTTGTATTTGCCTTCTTATTAAAGCGTTTGATATTGATGGTGATATCAGGGTTTTCCTCAGGCTAGGGATTATTTCCATCGATCGCTTTTGTTGATTCCTTCTGCCCTCCCTGCAAAAATTCTCGTATTAAAAAGTCAGGTAAATAATTAGTATTACCATTAATATGTTCTATAGTAAACTCAAAAGTAGAGAGAATACCTTGCCATATTGCGAATATTTGTTTTGAAACGAGATTTTTATGGTTTTCCCTTAATAGGGTTGGTCTATGATAGTACATTCTGGTTTGGGATACTGGTCTAATATTTCTCCCATAATCAATTCTATTAACTTTTAAGCTTTCTGTTTTAAAAACTTTTTCTATATCAAAAATTTCTTGGTCAGGTTCCTTTTGTAAGACTTGAAAATCTCCTTCTTTGGCTTTAGAAGACTGACCTTTCTCCCTTTCATTGATTTTCAATTTTTCCAATCTTTTAACCAATTCATCGACTAATTCCCTATTGTCTTCTTTTTTCTTTATTCCGTGTAAGCTAAACTTTCCTGTCTCAATAGTTAGAGGAGGTTTAAACAGAATAGCCTCTTTTTGCTTACCGAATTTTTTATCTTCTGCAGTTGGTTTTAAATTATTAATTGCATTTTCTATTCTTATAGTTTGTTTTCCTATTGTTTGGAGGATTCTTTTGTCGACCAGGTTTACAAACTTGCAATTCTGCACCTTTTCTAACACATTAATATTAGCTTCAGATCCTTCCTTTGTTTTAGGAAGGGTATCTTCCACTTCAGGTGGTAAAGGGATATCATATTTGATTACCAAATTATCAAATTTTAATTCTATGTCCTCATCTTCAATTTGTTCTTTAGGAGGTTTCTGGGTTAATTCTAGGATTTGAACAATTGTTTTTAGACTTATTAACTCGATTCTTACCTCATTTATCTCATATTTTAATTCAGAGATTGAGGGTTCTCTATCAACCTGGGTTTTGTTTTGCACTCTTCAAAGAATATCATGAAAACTATAATCTTCTTTTGTTAGAACAAGAGAAGATCTTGCCTTTTCAGATGGAGTTTTGGACATGCTGATATATTGAAATAAAGCTTCCCTTTTAACCTCTGGATCCGTTATTTTGTCGATAAGGTCTATAATCACATCTTTTTCTTTTGTAAGAGTGTTGATACTTAACCCATTCATATCAATGACTGCCTTGTAAAAATTACATTGGCAATTTTCTTCTTTTGGATTATTTTCATCATCAGAGTCTGAATCAGAACTACTAATTATAATATCTTCATCATCATTGATTTCTTCAATTAACATTTCATTTCTAAATCAGAAAAATAAGAAGTTTCTTCTTTTATTTGGAGTATCTCAAATAATTGGGTCTTAAGACTATTATCTATTTCTAGATAGTTATTTTTTTTTTAACTCTACATTTATTTTTGTAATAGCCTACTTTGGCACAATTATAACAAATAGGAACTTTTCTTTTTCCCTTACTTTTAAAGGATAGTTTGTCTTGTAAACATTTATTGAAAATTTTTTCTCTTTTCTTTGAAGATTGTTTAAATTTTTTCTTTTTGAAATTTTCATGTTTCTTTACGAAAGGGTTTTGAAGGGGTTACGGTATTATAACCAAACTGTTCACAGAAATCTCCTAACTCCTTTCTCCCCGTTATTCTCTGTTTTCCAATCGTCTCCGAAGCTTTAAGTCTGTACATAATGCTAGACATTCAGCACAGATTTCGGCTGATAGTTCTCCTAGGGTATACAGAGAATAATGAATAATTCCACCATGCTTATTTTTAGGCCTTGTTTTTACCTTTTCTGCAAAAAGGTGTGGTAGTCCAGCTACAAACTTTTCTTTCCAATGATCTGATTTACTATCCTCTCTTGATAGTAATCCTGAGAAAAATACATCTTCATACCATTTATAATGAGAGAGTGTAGGACATCTTAGATTTGATAACAAATCTTCAGATCTTGTTGCCAACAAAGCAGTGCTTCCCACGAAGTGCAGGGTGATTGTATATATTAGTGTATTGACTGCATCTCCTTCTTGGATTATATTGTCTTGGTCAGTTTCATTCTTGACTAGCCATTGTTTTGAGGCATTCAATATTTGATTCTTTAATTCTTCATTCATATAAAAATCCCACCAACCTCTTAACCATCTTGTAAATCCACATATTATGGCCTTGGTTATCTCGTGGTCTTGATTTCCATTTGCCTTACAAGCAGTGACATACATAGTCATGTGTTTCATAAGTTCTAAGATTTGATTTTCAGCCATGCCGTCTATATTCCAGTTTACTATGGATTTCCCTGAATAGGAGATCGAGGTAGAAATTAAGTCTTCTTCTATTTGAAGATCTACTGGGGTTGGTCTAGGTACATCCTTACTGGTCTAATTTTTCTCCCATAATCAATTCTATTAACATCTAAGCTTTTTGTTTTAAAAGCTTTTTCTATATCAGAAATTTCTTGGTCAGGTTCCTTTTGTAGGACTTGAATATCTCTTTCCTTGGCTTTAGAAGACTGACCTTTCTCCCTTTCATTGATTTTCAATTTTTCCAATCTTTTAACCAATTCATCGACTAATTCCTTATTGTCTTCTTTTTTCTTCATTCCTTGTAAGCTAAACTTTCCTGTCACAATAGTTGGAGGAGGTTTATACAAAACGGCCTCTTTTCACCAGAAACTTTTTTGGAATAAATGCAGTTTCCAAACAAATCACGAATAACTGCTAAGCATGACACAAAAAAGGTGCTCGAAACTGTAGTACTTGCTAGGAAAGAGATAGATAAAGGTGTAACTGCACCTTTTTCGAAGCTTTGAATTTTATAATTAGTGATGAAAATGTATTTTAAGGCTATAACAAAGATTTCTAGTATTCAAAAGTTTCTTTTCAGGACATGCAGCTTGTGAAATGTAATCAAGATATGAAGGGGGCATTTCTATTGAGAATTGTGGACTTGGAGGAAATACTTGATCTCTAGCTTATTTATTTATTTATATATTTATTTTAGAGAGAGAGAGAGAGAGAGAGAGAGAGTATAATGAAACAGATATTCATGACTCACTTGTTGGTGATAGTATCATCTATCGTCAATCTCCACTTTTGGAGAAACAACTCTTCATTGTTTCTTGAAATCTGCAGAAAATAAAAAAAAACATAATCATTCATTTTCTGGTACATATATTGAACCATGTCATGGAGAAACATAACAAAGCAAGTAAGAACGCAATGTAAACTACAAAAGAGAACTCTCATGCAATTAGCTTCATAAAGCACAAAGAAAGAGAGAAATGATAGAAAAATACCCTTAAGGTACCATAATTGACCATCAGCCTCAGAGTGCTCTGTGTGGATGACAAGGCTGAGCCACATATGATGGAACCATACCATATATGAGGCACAAGAAAGACATTATTGTGTTCTGGAAAAAATTGGAATTGAGATTTCCTTGCTAGGGTTATTTGAATCTCTGCTCTATAGATAATCCTCAACCCAATTCATTTTCCCAAGAGATCCTGATATCCCTCTTAATGGCCATTCATTAAACATAGAATTTCTCTTTCTCACAATAGATCCAGGGAAATATGCGACACTATGACGTAAGACTCAAAACTCTTGTTATGAGCACTCTAGAGAGCACCTGTCAAATGATAAGTAATCACCATATCGGTGATAACCCAGACCCAATACATGATATGTAATTGCATTAGGCAAGAGTCTTGTTTTCACCATCTCCCCATGTAAAATCATTGCATTAACCATGTGCCCTTCTCTGCATTGTCCCCATATAACAACAATGTACAAGAACACAACAGGCTTAAAGCCAAGATCACACATCTCCCTATAAATCTTAAGAGCCTCTAGAATCTGTCCATTTATACAAAATCCATAAATTAAATTGGTGTAAGTAATAATATTCGGTTTACAATTATAAACTTCAGCCTTTTCATCAATTAGACACTCTTCATTATGACTGTTCCCAATGGACCCATATGCCATTTTCTCCATAAAAATGGTTCTTGCATCATGTACTCTTCCAACTTTGCACAATCCATCAACGATGCGACTTAGAGTGATAACGTTAGCTTCGAGGCCCTTTTCAACCATTTCCTTGTATAGTCGCATGGCCTCTTTTAGATTATCACATTTGAAGTGCCCATTGATTAGAGCTGTATAGGCCACCACCATTTCAGAATATAAACCAGTAGCAATTTCAATTTTGCCTTCTTTGCAATACCCATCTATCAATGAAGAAAATGTGATAATATTGGGCATTATCCCCTTCTCCATCAGATCTGAGCAAAGCTTCAAAGCTTCATCCATAACCCTTATTTTACCATACCCATCAATCAGAGTGTTATAAGTAATACAGTTTGGAGCAATCCCATCAATCTCCATTTTCCTAAACAAGTCAGTGCCCTCTGGAACTCTTCCCAAGTCACAGAGCCCTTTTATTAGTATGATATAAGTGAAGTCATCAGGTAAACCACTGCCAAATCTTAACATTTCTCTGTAAAGGTTGAAAACCCCGTCTAAGTTAGAGGCCTTACAATGACCATTAATTAAACAATTATATACAAGAGTGTTTGGAAATACTTCATATTTGATCATTTCCACAGAAAATTGTCTCGCTTTCTTTAAATTCCCTTCCTTGCAAAGGCCATCAATTAGTGTACTAAATGTAACTACATTTGGTTTTAAGCATTTGCCCAACATTTCACTGTATAAAACAAGTCTTCCTTTCCCATTAGCCATTTTACAATGGCCATCAACCATGGAATTGTACGTGTAAAGGTTCAGAAGCACACCCCAACTCTCCATACTTCTAAAAATGTTAATTGCTCGGTTAATCTTCTCCTCTCTCCACAACCCACAAATGAGACTTGTGTATGTAACAACAATAGGTTTCTCTTTTCTCCTCACCATCTCATCCAAATACTGAAAAGCCCTTTGCAAATCACCTTGATAACAACAGGCATTGATCAAAGTGTTATATATGAAAACATTCGGAACAAGCCCACGAAGAAGCATTTCATCGAACAATCTCCAGAAGATGTCCAGTTTCTCTGTCTTAAGAAACCCATTTAAGAGAGAGTTGCAGGCATGGAGACAAGGCAGTTTTCTCGGTTTTCTCATTCTGTAAAATACATGGTAGGCCTCATCAAGGAGATCAATTTTTTGTAAAGGCCATTATCAAGACATCAAACACTTCAAAGCTAAATTTAGGCCCTCGACCCTCGAAAACCGTTAAGGAGATCAAAGGCCTTCAGAAGAAAAATCACGGCCACTCTTTTGCATGATCACATTCAATTCTTTTAAAAGGTCTTAGCTCTTGTGAATAATCTACGTCTGGTTAATATATGGATTATAACTGCATAAATCTATGGTGTTTTGCTGAAATCCACCTGTTTTGAAGCCCATAAGAAAAACCCAAGTGCTTGAGAAACGTCTGCACTACTCACTATTTCTTGCATGATATGATGAGGACAGAGGAAGTGAGTACCTGTATTCTGGGTGTTGCTGTTTTTTAGAGAGAGAAAGCGACTGCCCTTTTCCTCAGCTTCTGGCGCTGAAAAACTGGTAAGAAACCTTGCATTGGAGATAACGGGTCCCACTCTTTTACTATACAGCTGCAAATTCTTGGAGAGCCGTTCAACATTGCATAAATAGTTGGGGGAATTAGGGTTTAAGCTACCATGTAGGATGAGCAAAAACCCTAAACCATCCCTGTGAAGTAATGATACCCTTTTATTAAGTAGATAGAGCTTCTTGAGGGACCCCATTTTTTGAGAAAATGGATTTTTTGAACTGTGAAACTTTTTTCTCGTTGTCCTTTTGCCCTTAGAAAGCGGATTTACAGAAACAAGGCTCCTATCTCTCGCTCTTAAGTGCAATGCTTGTGTGGTCTCTCGTGCCACCCAAAAAGTTTATATTAGGGGTAGGTCCTTAACAATCATATTAAGGCACACCTAAACTTTTACTAAAGATGTTGTTTCGACGCTCCAAAATTCCCAAGTGGATCATCTCGACCTTTAAGTTGTATGGACATGAGAAAAATGGGTTTCAAGCTTTAGAGATAATGCATCTTGTAATATTTTTTTTGGACCGTTAATTTTTTAGATTTCCAAATGTTCATAGATCTACACTAGTTTTGAAACTTCTAATTCTATAATTAAAGATTGAAATAAAGCTATCATAAAGATATCCAATACTGAAAGAACATCATAAAAATTTCCAATACTGAAAGAACATCTTTCGATATTATTTATAGGAGTACCTTACTATGATTGTTTAGGGCCTACGCCCTCTACAATCCACACCCTTTTCAAAGAAACTCTCACAAATTTCCTTGGGGCATCTCGATCTAAAGTTTGGATTTAGAGTCTTAAACAAGAATGTATTTAAGGAGCAATTATGATGTTGGTGTTCTTTTAAGCTCATTATATTGTGCAGATCCGGTTGCCCAATTACTTGGATGTGCTATTATGTTCTTTGTGTACTCATCCTCTTTATAAGAATTGTTGCAGCAGTAAACTTTTTATTTGTTCTGGTATTCTGATATTGATATTTGTATGAGTTGGGATATTGTGGAAATGTCTATTTCGATAGGATGGACTATTTAGGAAGCGCTAACGAGGATTGTTAATTTTTGAAATTGCTTATTGAAGATTGTTTATGTATAACTCGGTATTGTGAACTTTATACATTTATGTGATAAAATCAAGTGGGAGAAAAACTTGAGCATCTTATCTATTTGTTTGTGTTTGGAAATTCTTTCATGTTTTGGGAAGCCAAATACTGTAAATTATTGTTGTCATTTTTACTTCTTTAGGGAACCCATTGTAATTAATTATTGTTGTCATTTTCGTTTCGTTACTCTATTTTTATTATGTAGTTTCTTGTATTTTTCCGCCTTCATCAACTTCTTTGTATATGTCATAAATTATTGTATCTTAACTATACGATGGTTTGACTATCCAATTGTAAGATGGTATCATAAAAAAATGAAATCTTTTGTGAAAAATAGGTGACTGACACAAGGGAGACCCTCTATAAATTGTTCTAGATATAATTCATATAGTTCCACCTTTATCTATCTATGTCCCAGCAAGTGCTATAGTATCAGCACCTCTTTTGTGTCATGTTTAGCAGTTAATGGTGATATGTTTGGAAAATACATTTATTAATAATTTATGGTAAAATAGTTTACTCTCTTGAATATGTTTGCTAAAACTAATTTTGTATATAATTTTGAAGCTTGGAGGTAATGGATGATAGTGGGAGAAAATCTCTAACAATATTCCCAACCGAGTTTTAGAAGAGTATTGGGTGGTCGCACGAGACCACCCAAGCACCGCACTTAAGAGAGAGAGAGAGGAAGAGGAAGAGAGAGAGCGTGGGGTAGAGAGAGAGAGAGAGCGTGGGGTTGAGCGAGAGAGATAGGAAGAGAGAATCCTCCATAACGAAGGAAAACCATGAGAGAGAAAACTAAGCCATCAGAGAGATGGGGTACCTTGTTTCTGTAAACTCGCTATCTGAGGGCAAAAGGACCACGAGAAAGGAGTTTCACAGTTTAGAAAATCCATTTTCTAAAAAAACAGGGTCCCTCAAGAAGCTTTATCTTCTTAACAAAGGGGTTTTATTACTTTACAGGGATGGTTTAGAGTTTTTGCTCAGCCTCCATGGTGAACTTAAACCCTAATCCTCCCCACTGTTTATGCAATGTTGAAGCTGCTCTCCAAGAATTTGCAGCTGTATAGTAAAAGATTGGGGCCGGTTATCTCCGATACAAGGTTTTTTATCAGTTTTTCAATGCCTGAAGCTGAGGAAAAGGGTAGTCACTTTCTCTCTCTTGAAAACAGCAACACCCAGAATACAGGTACTCACTTCCTCTCTCCTCATCATATCATGCAAGAAATAGTGAGTAGTGCAGACGTTTCTCAGGCACTTGGGTTTTTCTTATGGGCTTCAAAACAGGTGGATTTGAGCAAAACACCAGAGATTTATGCAGCTATAATCCATATATTAACCAGACGTAGATTATTCACAAAAGCTGAGACCTTTACAAAAGAATTGATTGTGATCATGCAAAAGAGTGGCCATGATTTTGTTCTGAAGGCTTTTGATCTCCTTAACGGTTTTCGAGGGCCTAAATTTAGCTTTGAAGTGTTTGATGTCTTGATAATGGTCTTTACACAAATGGGTCTCCTTGATGAGGCCTACCATGTATTTTACAGAATGAGAAAACTGAGAAAACTGCCTTGTCTCCATGCCTGCAACTCTCTCTTAAATGGGTTTCTTAAGACAGAGAAACTGGACATCTTCTGGAGATTGTTCGATGAAATGCTTCTTCGTGGGCTTGTTCCGAATGTTTTCATATATAACACTTTAATCAATGCTTGTTGTTATCAAGGTGATTTGCAAAGGGCTTTTCAGTATTTGGATGAGATGGTGAGGAGAAAAGAGAAACCTACTGTTGTTACATACACAATTCTCATTTGTGGGTTGTGGAGAGAGGAGAAGATTAACCGAGCAATTAACATTTTTAGAAGTATGGAGAGTTGGGGTGTGCTACCGAACCTTTACACGTACAATGCCATGGTTGATGGCCACTGTAAAATGGCTAATGTGAAAGAAGGACTTGTTTTATACAGTGAAATGTTGGGAAAATGCTTAAAACCAAATGTCATAACATTTAGTACACTAATTGATGGCCTTTGCAAGGAAGGAAAATTAAAGAAAGCAAGACAATTTTTTGTGGAAATGATCAAATATGGAGTATTTCCAAACACTTTTGTATATAATTGTTTGATTGATGGTCATTGTAAGGCCTCTAACATAGATGAGGCTTTCAACCTTTACAGGGAAATGTTAAGATTTGGCAGTGATTTACCTGATGTCTTCACTTATAGCATACTAATAAAAGGGCTTTGTGACGTGGGAAGAGTTCCAGAGGGCACTGACTTGTTCAGGAAAATGGAGTTTGATGGGATTGCTCCGAACTGTATTACTTATAACACTTTGATTGATGGGTATTGTAAAATAGGGGTTATTGATGAAGCTTTAAAGCTTTGCTCAGATATGATGGAGAAGGGGATAATGCCCAATGTTATCACATTTTCTTCATTGATAGATGGGTATTGCAAAGAAGGGAAAATGGAAATTGCTACTGGTTTATATTCCGAAATGGTGGTTAAGGGTCTCGTGCCTGATGTTGTGGCCTATACAGCTCTAATCAGTGGGCACTTCAAATGTGATAATCTAAAAGAGGCCATGCGACTATACAAGGAAATGGTTGAAAAGGGCCTCAAAGCTAATGTTATCACTCTAAGTTGCATGGTTGATGGATTGTGCAAAGTTGGAAGAGTCCATGATGCTATAACCATTTTTATGGAGAAAATGGCATCGGGGTCCATTGAGAACAGTCATAAGGAAGAGTGTCTAATTGATGAAAAGGCTGAAGTTTATAATTGTAAACCAAATATTATTACTTACACCAATTTAATTTATGGGTTTTGTAGAGATCGGCAGATTCTAGAGGCTATTAAGATTTATAGGGAGATGTGTGATCTTGGCTTTAAGCCTGATGTGTTCTTGTACACTGTTGTTATATGGGGACAATGCAAAGAAGGGCACATGTTTAATGCAATGAGTTTACATGGGGAGATGGTAAAAACAGGTGTCTTGCCTAATGCAGTTACATATCATGTATTGGGTCGGGGTTATCACCGATGTGGTGATTACTTATCATTTGACAGGTGCTCTCAAGTGTGCTGATAACCAGAGTTTTTGTGTCATAGTGTCGCATATTTCCCTGGATCTATTGTGAGGAGGAGAAATTCTATGTTTAATGAATGGCCATTAAGAGGGATATCAAGATCTCTTGTGAAAATGAATTGGGTCGAGGATTATCTATGGAGTAGAGATTCAAATACCCTAGCAAGGAAATCTCAATTCTAATTTTATCCAGAATACAATAATGTCTTTCTTGTGGATCATAAATGGTATAGTTCCATTATATGTGGCTACGCCTTGTCATCCACACAGCACTCTGAGGCTGATGGTCATTGTTGGGACCATAAGGGTATTTTTCTATCCTTTCTGTTCTTCTTTATGCTTTATGAAGCTAATTGCATGAGAGTGTCTCTTTTGTAGTTTACATTGCGTTCTTACTTGCTTTGTTATGTTTATCCGAAACATGATTCAATATATGTACCGGAAAATTAGTTATTTTTTATTTTATTTTCTGCAGATTTCAGGAAACAAAGAAGAGTTGTTCCTCTGAAAGTGGCAATTGACGATAGATGATACTATCATCAATAAGTGAGTATTGAATATCTGTTTCGTTATAGTCTCTCTCTCTCTTTGTCTCTCTCTCGCTCTTTGTCTCTCTCTGTTTCTCTTTTCCTTCAACATAAGTCTATACAAAAATAACCTAGAGATCAAGTATTTCATCCAAGTCCACAATTCTCAGTGGAAAAGCCCCTTCATATTTTGATTACATTTTGCAAGCTGCCTGTCCTGAAAAGAACCATGAGAAAATTATTACTTGATCATGGTAACATGTCTGCAAGTCTTTCTTCATTGTCTTTTTGGCTAAAATCCTTTGGGACAAAATAAATGCTCTGAAGGTGTTTTTCGCTATCAGTCCAATGGGGGTGGAATTAGCATTACTTCCTTTTTGTCCAAAGTTTATTTAATTTTTTACTATCATTGCAATTTTAGACTTGGATAGTCGTTTCTTTTTGGTCGCCAAATATCTTTTTCCTTTTTTTTCTAAAAAAGGGAAAGCTCTTCCAACTTTTTATGTAGAGTTGATTATCTTTATCATTATTTAGGAGTTAGGACCATTAGTTGTACCCTTGGGTTGAAATTACTCATGGCGAAGACTCAAGAGTTGAGCTCGATTTTAGCTCTGTAGTTATCAGCAGTCAGCTTTCCAATTCTGAAACCTATAAGTAATAATTCTTCATGCCATTATCTGTTTAGTGGGGTTCATAGGTATCGAAGAGCCAACTCATATGTTCCTTTGTGAACATGAAACTCTTGAGAACTAGTACATTTTGAGGTGCTTATGGCAATTAAAACATATTGAATTGTTCACGGTATGTAATTTTATTTCATTTTGGACCATGGGCTTAAAAAACTTCTGATGTTGGCTTATAATCTCTATGAATATGGACGGCAATGTTGAGCGATGGAGATATGAATTTTTTAGCATATACGATCAAAGAAAATAACAGCTAGGCTATTAAAACTTCTGATGTTGGCTTATAATCTCTATGAATATGGCTGGCAATGTTGAGCGATGGAGATATGAATTTTTTAGCATATACCGATCAAAGAAAATAGCAGCTAGGCTATTAAGTGATAGAGGTATGAGAGATAGGAATAGGGTGCACATGTTGCGCAAGTGTGCACAAGTAAAAATGTTTATAATAATATTGGGAACTGGCAAGTGTTCTGCCATTTCCATGGTTCTGGTTCTGTGCTCGGCAGGTTATCGAGGCTGAGTAACTCAGGTGAGCCTGAATCAGACATACTGAGTTCTGATTCATTGTAAGAAAGAAAAATAACGGAAGAGAGCTGTTGATAGGTCAGGGAGTTGTTTAAACAAAGCGTGATATTCGAAAACTTAAGACATGGTTTTGGTCTTCTGTTTTTTCTTTTTCTTGGTGCAGGGGCAATGTGGAAACATTTTTTCGAATTCAATATTGGAAATCTTTGCGATATCTTTAAAAAATATTTTCATCTTTAATTATATAATTTAGAGCTTAAAAAATAGTGTAGATAGAGCGGAACTATAAAAACTTCAAAATATTGAAAATTGACGGTCCAAAAAAGAGTTATAAGATCCACTATTCCCAAAACTTGAAATCAATTTTTTTTCTCATGTCCATGCATCTTGATGTCGAGATGATGAATTTGAGGATCCTTGGGCATAAAGAAAACCTCTTCTAGTGAAATTTTTGTGGTGGGCTTTAATTTGATTGTTTAAAGATTTCTAGTATTGAAACCACAGTTCTCGATACTAGTTGAAGGTGGGCTTTACTTTGATTGTTTAGTGCCTCAGCTTTATACAAACCGCACCCAAATTTTAAACAGTTCATTTCTCAAGTACTTCCTTTTTGAAATTTTTTCAAAATTGCCCATAGATCGAAACTCCATTTCAAAAATGCCCATATATTGAACTCCAAGTTCCCAAGATGGGGTTTCCCTTTTCTTACTTGAGTTTTGGATCGCCAGGTTCCAACGCAATATTTTTTTTTTAAAAGAATTGGTCTGATTATGTTTTAAAAATTTGTAACTTTTTTAAAAGGGCGCGGTTTATAGAAGGCCAAGGCTCTAAACAATCAAAATAAAACGCACGTTCAAATAGTATTGAGAAATGTGGTTTGAATACTGGAAATCTTTGTGATAGCCTTAAAATATATTTTCATCACAAATTATAAAATTCAAAGCTTCGAAAAAGGTTTAGATCAAGCAGATCTTTGAAAACATGAAAATCTTGAAAATTGACGGCCCAAAAATACATTACAAGACACTATTTTCAAAACTTGAAATCCATTTTTTTCTCATGTCCATGCATCTTGTGGACGAGATGATCAATTTGAGGATCTTTGGGCATCAAAATAACCTCTTCTAGTGAAATTTTTTAGGTGTGCCTAAATTTGATTGTTTAGAGCCTCACACGTATGTAAATTGTTTCCTTTTTTAAATGACAAGTCAAATCTCCAATTTTTAACTTGGTTTTTCATACGATATTTGAACCCACTCAATTAACTCACACTTTTTTGGGTTCAAATTTTGAAATATATATTTTTAAAACAAGATCACAAATTTCTCTAGCCATACAAATATAAATTAGACAGCTTAGGATATACACAAAGTTCAAGAAAGTTTTTTTTTTTAAAACTTTGAACCTAGTGAATGACACATTCACAACCATTTGATTTGAAATCTAATGGACAAGAGTGATTGTTCTCTTTGTCTACTTTTCCTTTAAAAAAAATTGTACCAAAACGTAGATCACCTTGGGGTAACTTAGAACCACTCAAGTCACTTGAATTTATTTCATATTTAGTTGTGGTATACATGAGGTTGCAACCTTAAACAATCCAATTAAGGCGGCACTCAAAATTTTATTATAACATGTAATTTTGGTGTAAAAAATTCTTAAGATTATCTAAAGATCTATTTTAATATCTAATTGTCAAATTTTAAAGTCCAAAAAGTTCAAATCATGTAGATCTATAAACATATGAAAATCTTGAAAATAGACAATTTAAATAATGTGTTGCAGGATGCACTATTTTACTTACCCAAAGCATAGATGCGCTATTTTGGGACTCCAATATTTTCCTTTTTCATATTCATACGTCCATGATCAATTAGAAGATTTTTCAAACATTAAAACAATCTTTTCCCCTAGATTTTTGAGGTGTAACTAATAAAATAGGGGAAAACACCCTGTTTTTTCAATATAGACATTTTCCTTAGTTTGGCGTCAAAGAATTTAAGGCCTTTTGGTTAGGGGTGGCAACGGGTCGGGTATGGGTTGGGTTGGCTGGACCCGGACCCAAACCCAGACCCAAATGTATTTAGGTCTAGGGTTTGGATTGGACCCGACCAGTCTGGTCCATTGGATTTCAAGCTGCCTTATTTGTCTGTTGTTTAATATCTAATGATGATTATGAATTCTTAATGTATATAATCCTTAGTACAACCAAATGAATAGGGCTTGAATTATTTTATCTCCAATAGTTTTTGGGTACGGGACAGGTCCAACCGAACCCGAACGGTGTTTAGGTGCAGACTCGGACCCGACCCGCCGGGTCCAAATGTTGGACCCATACCTGGATCCGTTCTGGTAAAATCGACGGTTGTTGGGTCGGCTCCGGGTATATTGCTACTACTTTTGGTAACTAAGCCGCTTCCTCTCTCTTTCTACCCTAGCTGGTCCCCTCTTCTCTCTCTTCCTTTACATCCCCAAGCTCTCAAAACCCAAGCTCGCGGTAACCCTTTTTATATATATCTCTGTTCTGTTTATTCTCTCTCCCTCTCTTTGCAACTAGTCTCTCTTGCTATAGCTCTTTTTCTTCAAGGAGTTTCTTTTCTTTCCCTTTCTCCCTCTCTCTTTGCAACTAGTCTCTCTCTTGCTATTGCTCTTTTTCTTCAAGCAGTAGCCCCAATTTTCTCTCTTGCTATTGCTCTTTTTCTTCAAGCAGTAGCCCCAATTTTCTCTCTTGCTATTGCTCTGTTTCTTCAAGCAGTAGTCCCAATTTGAAGCCATGTTTTGCACTATCTCTTCAAGCCTTTGAAGATTCAGGTAAGGTCTTCATTGATCCTTCTTTATGGTAAGGAGAACTGCCTCATTGTAATAAGGGGAAACTTCTCTTCAAGAATAGTTTAAAATAATATGCTCAATTCTCATAAAGATTTAATTCATTTATCTAAAACTTTTGGTTTTATGCCTTATGCCCCAATATACTGAGAATTCTTTATTTTTCAGTTTTATTTTCGTATTCCCCTTCTCCCATGATGTTTTACCATGAGCTTCAGAGAGTGAAAGACTTCTTGATAACAACATTTTGAGGTTGGAAGGCTTAAAAAAATTTGGTAGCAGGCTAAGGTTAGGTTGTCTATGTGTGTTTTAGTTTGCTTCTAATGTGCTATCGCACTCTTCTGATCCATCTTACTCTCAAGATGGTTTCTACCATATATGAAAGTCAATTTAGTATATGTTTTAATGATTATTCTATGTGTTTTAATGATTATTCTCTCCTAATTATGGGTGAAATACTGAAAGTGTTATCCTACAATATCTTTTTCTCTTTGCTATGAAGTTGATCAGTTCTTATGTGGGATCTTTCTATTAGATAAACTTCAAGGGATCAAATTTGTATTCTAGAGAAGATTGTCATGTCTTCTAATGCATACTTATGATATTAAATTGTTATTTTTGTCATAATTTGTATATATTATCACTAGGGGATTAGAAAAGGCGTGTCTTTATTTAACACAAGGTGGTGTATGTTCTGATATTTCTCTGTGGGTTTTATTTAAGATCAGATTCGAAGTAAGTAAACCATGAAAGGAGGAAGAAAGAATCTGAAAAGAGCAATTGTGGAAGAACATGTATCCCTTCAAGATGGCCAATGCATAATGCAGGTGGTATCTCTTCGTGGTTCAAATCTCATTGAGGTGGGTCCTTTTACTTCCCATGATTTCTCTTTCTGTTGAGTGAAAAAATTTCACATGGCATGCCCTATTGTTAAGTTTATTTGTTTTATTGTTTTATTGTTTTTTTGTATTTTTAACTTGATGGGTCATGTAGGATGCTTTTATTTAGTAAACAAGTCAATTGAGATTTCACGGATGTATGTTGAGGTGGTTCTTATTTGTTTCAACTTCCAATAGTTGGATGTTATGGAGTATTTGTGTTGATCATGGATTTGCATAGTTTCACTCCATTTATTCAGATGAACTTTTGGTATGGGTATAATTCAAGCCCATGCGTTTAACAATGCATGTAGTGTAGAAGACCCACTTACATCCAATTGCATTATTCATAGTAGTCCCCAAGGAACGAGGATATTTTCGAAGAATATAAAAGTGAATGATATTCTCCTCCAGTGTTGATTCCTTCTAAAGCAGACTTTTCTCATTTGCATAATGGAACTGTGGAGTCACCCACTTGATGGAATGTTGGTGCCCAATTTTATTGGTAGCTCTTTTGAAAATCTGTGTGAACAGTAGGGCAGGCTAACTTGAGTTGGGGTTCTGTGGAGGTGGAAGTTCGATATCTTCTCAATTGGTTTAGCACATCCATAGTCTCCTTTTCTGATGCAGGAGAACATGAAGAAACCTAGAAAAATCAGCCAGAAGCACCTTGACACAAGCAATTTTCGAGAAATTTTGGAGAAACCCTAGGGTTTTCTCCCACATAGGCCTCAAGCTTTAGGCTTCTTTTACAAGACAAAGTCTTTCTTTTCTTAAAGAGGAATGTACGAGTGACTCTCCAGCCCACCCATGCCTTTATTTATATTGATTTATTATTGTCTTAGACAATATTTGACCATACAATATAACTTTTGACCAAAAGGTCTTAAATATAACTTGAAACTACACTTCCTAACTTTAATTAAAATATCTAAAATTCCCTAACTGTTCCAGCCATGAAATAATACATAAAAACATATGAAATAGCCTCAAATAACTAAAAATAAACACCCAAACTATCTATTGTTTTTCTTGTTCTTCTTGGGAACCCTCCTAGGGTTTTCATCCTCCAAATATGAGCGAAAATTAGGAGGAATCCGTCTCTCCAAAAGAAGATACTTGTGGCTACTTGTTATGCTCTGATCTCAATAATTTTTTGCTCCTTGTGTGAGAGATTCTCTATATCCGATTGACTAGGCCACTAGCGACGATTTCTTATCATTGTTGCACATAGACATCATGGGTAAAATCGTATAATTAGTTTGTTCTATGTGGTAGTCTTTCACCATGAAATCGATGAAAAGGAAGATTCGATAACTAGGTGGGACTTGGGAGAAACTACAAGTGGATTGAGAATCCAGAATACCTTTTGTTCTTTTTAGTTGTTAGTTACTTACCTACTATACCCCTTAAATAATAAACCTCTATAAAGATACAAAGGTGCGAGAACTGATAGCAGTCTTCATTTGTGGCCAAAATCCCAAAGCCCTTAACAATTATTTTTTTGAACCGACAACACAAGTAAAAACTTTAGGAGCAATTATGGTGTTGGTGTTCTTTTAAGCTCACTATATTGTGGAGATCTCGTTGACCAATTACTTGGATGTGCTATTATGTTCTTTGTGTACTCATGCAGCCATGCTCATTATTACAATTGTTGTAGCTGTTAACGTTGTGTTTATTCTGGTATTCTTCTTTGTTCTGGCAGTCTTGTATTGATATTTGTATGATTCGGGATATTGTGTAGATGTCTATTTTGATTGGATGGACTATTTAGCGAGGATTGTTAATTTTTGTAGTTGCCTATGATGATTGTTTATGTATAACTGAGTATTATGAACTTTATACATTTCTGTGATAAAATCAAGTGGGAGAAAAAACTTGAGCATCTTATTTATTAGTTTGTGTGTTTGGAAATTGTTTCATGTTTTGGGAATCCAAATATAGTAAATTATTGTTGTCAGTTTTTCTTCTTTAGGGAACCCATTGTAATTAATTATTGTTGTCATTTTCGTTTCGTCACTCTATTCCTATCATGTAGTTTCTTGCATTTCTCTTCCTTTATCAACTTCTTCGTATGTGTCATAAATTATTGTGTCTTAACTACACGATGGTTTAACTATCCAATTGTAAGATGGTATCACGTGACAATGAAACCTTTTGTGAAAATAGTGTGACTGACAGAAGTGAGACCCTCTATAAATTGTTCTGGTTTTAATTCATGTAGTTACACCTTTTTCTATCTATATCCCAGCATGTACTACAGTATTGAGCACCTTTTTTGTGTCATGTTTAGCAATTATTGGTGATTTGTTTGGAAAATGCATTTACTCCTAAATAATTTCTGGTAAAATAGTTTACTCTATAGAATATGTTTGCTAAAAGTAATTTTGTATTTCATTTTGAATCTTGCAGGTAATGGATGATAGTGGGAGAAATTCTCTAGCAATATTCCTAGCCAAATTTCAGAAGAGTATTTGGATAAAACGAGGTATGTCTTTTTAAGACAATCAGTTGTTTCAACTGCTTGTGATTTTTGAGCATTTTTCTCACGGCATTCATTGACATGCCAAAAACTTATTTACTAGTCTTAGATAATCTAGGAAAAAAGCCAATGAGAAATCATCTGGCCATGTTATGCTATCTCATCCCAAACTGAATCATCATTGTCAGAACTTTTTCCCAACTAATTGGGGTCAGCTGAATACCATGAGTAATGCTGACTACCACATCAATTTTTATGCCATGAGTAGCCAAGTGGCGCATTATGCACCACATCCTCCTGAATTTCCTTTCTATCCATTACAGGGGCAGTTCAATTCCATATCTAATCCAGGCCTAACTCTTGTTTCTACAGGATATAGCCTCCTAGAAGAATCTATTCTTGTCTTTGAACAGTTTAGGGCTTCTCTAGGAAAGCTTCATCCACCTTGAACAAGTGGATATGATTAAATTTCTTCTAACATGGGGATGAGATCCTCCTTTCGATCCCCTACTTCTTTTTAATAAGCTTTTATGCCTTAGATAAGTTTGGTGATATGAGGTATGAAGAATTGTCTGAAAAATACAACACACACACGCACACATATACACATACATAGATATGAATGAAAATTTATGTAACAAGACCATTTACTTTTGATATGAGGAGGGGACACGGTGATAATTGATCATTCGATGTGATTATGTGAAATCAGTTAATTGTGGATCTGCCATTGACTGGGTACAAAGTCCAAAATGAGATTACTAGAAGGGTGTGACACATTTCAATTAGTTGGATTTCGCATCTAATGGCTAAGGATTATTTTGACCTGCTTGTACCAAAAGTGAATGGTCTTATAGTATACCTTCCCATCCCCGATATGTGTGTCTGTGTGATCTTTTAAATTTTTATTTCTTTCTGTCATAGGTAAGTTCTGTATTACTTTCTAGTGAAGTCCTAGTATTTCATTGGTTGCTTGCTTTATTTAGGAAACTTTGTTGTGGTCGATGGAGATGGAAGTGGAAGTGAGAAAGCCCTTGAATCAGGCAATAAAATAACTTTTATGATATCGCAAGTGCTCTTCCATGAGCAAGTTCGTACATTTCAAAAATCTCCAGACTGGTAAGATTTCCTTACATTTGCTAGATTTAAATTGCATATAAGCGAAACAATGGTAATGCCAGTTAACCCCAGTTAACAAGGAATAACAAATGTGAAACAAATTTTCAAATTGTGCTTCATATCTAATACCGTGCATTCAAATCTCTCCCATTGATCTTGAATGTTTTCATATTTTGTTGCTTTTCTTGTGCACTTGTCATCCATGATTATGATGTCCACATTTTAACTGCTGTTACTATTTTTAGTAGTGTATTCTTGATTCTTTATTCATTATATTCGTTTCAACCGTAATTGCAGGCCTGAGATTTTCAGAATGACTGCTTCTGTTGAGGCAAAAGACGCAGAAACAGCGAACGAGCAAGTGGAAGAGAGACATTGTTCAAGTGATGACGACCTTCCCCCAATTCGAAGCCAACCTGAACAGGGTGAGACCAGCTGAATTGCTCACCGATTCATGCTCAGATTCAGATTCTTAAGTGTAACCAATTGCACAACTGTGGTTTTTTGTTCTCTTTGCCACCTTTTTGCAAGGTGAGGGATCTTTGTTATTGTTTTATGGTTTTGAGCGCAACGATGCACAGGAAGAGCTGGCAAAATATTATTTTTGTAATGGATCCAATTACAATCTCACTTTCTTGGTTAGCTTGGGATTTTATGATATCTCTCTATTCTTCCTTTTATATGTGTTGCTCCCATCACACGAGCTTGAACTGTGAGTATTTACAAAAAGGAAAAAGTTTATATAAGTGTGAGGCTTTAAATAATCAAATTTAAGTGCACCTCAAAAATTCATTGGAAGAGGTTGTTTCAATGCCCAAATTTTCTTAAATTCATCATCTCAACCTCAAGATATCTACCTCAAGATATCTGGACATTGACAAAAAAATGTACTTTCAAGTTTTGAAAATAGTGAATTTTGTGATGTATTTTTTGGCATGTCAATTTTCAAGCGTACACTATTTTTAAAATTTTAAATTTTATAATTATATATGAAAATAAAATTTCAGGCTATCACAAAGATTTCCAGTAGTGGAACATCTTTCAACACTGTTTGAAGGCGGGTCTTTGATGGTTAGAGCCCTAGCCTTAGGGAAACGCCTCCATTCGTAAATGCAAAAAGCTTAAGGGGGTTATTTTGTTAAGGAAAAGTTTATATAAGGTTCGGTGTCAAAATGTTGAATTATAGGTGCACCTAAATTTTTTTTCGAAAAAAAGTTCTTTTAATGTCCTCTAATTATCATCTCAACATCGACATATATGCATATGAAACAAAAAAAGATTTTGAATCTTAGAAATAGTACATTTCGCAACACATTATCTAGACCATGCATTTTCAAGATTTTTATATTGATTTTAGATCTACTTGATTTTAATCATTATTAGAGATTACATAGAAAACAAAAATCGAGTTAGGGAAGGGAGGTATTTTTTAAGGGTGTGGTTTGTATAGAGTCGAGGCTCTAAACAATCAAAGTAAAGGCGCTTTCAAATAATGTTGAGAAATGTTGTTTCAATATTGAAAATTTGTGTGATAGCCTTAAAATATTTTTTAGTTTTAATTATAAAATTTAAAGCTTAAAAAATAGTATAGATCGAGCATATCTATGAAAACATGAAGACTTTGTAAATTGACGGTCCAAAAAGGCATTGCAAGATGCACTATTTCCAAAACTTGAAATTTATTTTTTTCTCTTGTCCATGCAACTTGAGGTGGAGATGATCAATTTGAGGATATTTAGATGATCAATTTGAGGATATTTAGGTATCAAAACAAACTCTTCTACTGAAATTTTTGAGGTGGGTTCTAATTTGATTGTTTAAAGCCTCAACTCTATATAAATCTTTTTCATTTATTGAATAACAGAAATTGTGGCCAGCTTAAATTCTTGGAAAATTTATCACACTATTATAAGAGATGAATTATTTATCATTCCACTCTTTTGTAACTATTACATATCATGAGCATGTGTCTTTTGGTGTGTATTTAGAATTTAAATTAAAAGGCAGGCAAAATTTTAGGAAAAAAGTTTATATAGAGTTGAGGTTCTAAACCATTAAATTAGAGCCCACCACAATTTTTTTACTATAATACGCTTTCTTTGTGCCCAAATCTACAAATTGATCATCTTGACATCAAGATGCATGGATATGAGAAAAAAATAGATTTTAAGTTTTGTAAATAATGGATCTTATAACTCTTTTTTGGATTGTCAATTTTCAAGTTTTTATAGATCTGTTCTATCTACCCCTTGAAAATACCCGTTGAAACTTTCAAGGGTATTTTTGTTATTTTATTTTATTGAAAATATTTTTGTTTATATTTTTCACTAGTGTTATTTTTATTTTATTGAAAATTTGGTGTCAAAATAGTTTATAAAAAATAAAAATAAAAATAAAATAGTGTAGAGACGTGACATTGTGATTGAGGCAATCTTAGCCCTCCATTCAAAATAGACGGTTGGATAAGGGGAGGATAGAACTTCTATGTTGTAGAGGAACCATAAAAAGCTTGCTCATTTTAAATTCGATAACATAAGATGTATCACAAAATTCAAGAAATTTTTTTTTGGGCAAGCTTTCTATGCTTCCTCTACAGCATAGAAGTTCTATCACCCTCTTATTCAACCGTCCATTCTGAATGGAAGGCTAAGATTGTCTCAATCACAATGTCACGTCTCTACACTATTTTATTTTTATTTTTTTTTCTATAAATGATTTTAACACCAAAATTTGGACATCCATTCCCTTATTAAACTCGCACTAGCGAAAAATATAAAAAAAATATTTTCAAGGAAATAAAATGATCAAAATACCATTGAAAGATTCAAAGGTTATTTTGGTTATTATATTTATCGAAAAAATATTTTTAATATTTTTTATTGGTGCACCATGAGAAGATGACATGTACCAAATTTTATATTCATATAATTTGTATAAAAAAAAACTAAAAATGAAATACTTTGAGATGTCGAATTTAAGATCAAATGGTGAGTGGCTCTCTTGATCACGGTTGGATGGTAAGCAAAGGATATAGCTTCCATGCTGTAGGGGAAACCAAAAAAAAAAGGGGCATGAAAACAAAAGCCAGTAGAAAGAAGCAATGATACATTCACAACCGTTTGATTTAAAATTGAATGGACAAGATTGATTGTTATCATCTTGTACCAATAAATATTTTATCTGTCTTTAAAAAAAATTGTACCAAAACAAAAATCACCCCTGGGGTAATTTAAAACAACTCAAGTCACTTAAATTTATTTTATACTTCAGTGCCGTATATATAAGGTTACAACTTTAAACAATCCCCTCAAAATTTTTCCCTCACTACGATTAAAGATTTATAAATTTCTTTAATCGAAAGGAGCTCGTGGAAATTTGAGTTTCACATCTGTGTTTACGGTTTAGAGAGAGAAGGAAGAAAGAAGAGAAGAAAATAGGGCTGGGCTCATAGCTATTAGGGTTTATAGAGAGAAGAAGGAAGAAGGAAGAAGGAAGAAGGAAGAAGGAAGAGGTCATGAGCTTCACAAACCCTAATGAAACAGGTCCTAATTGATTTTTAGAGAGAGAAAATGATACCCTAATGGAAGAGGTCCTAATTGATTTTTAGAGAAAGAAAAGAAAGATGGGACGCTGATTTGGGATAATTTGAAGAGGGTTTTTCTCTCTGATTTGGGATGTTGTCTGAGACAAAGCCCTAACTATACTGATTTGTGGATTTTTAGAGAGAGAAAAGGAAGAGGGTTTTTCATTTTCCTGGGGAAACAGCAAGCAGAGCTGAAGGGTAAGGTTTGGGGAACTATCCTATGTATACAATTTCTTGCTTCTGTAAGTTTACAGTTTACACTATATTGTTTATCCTTGTTATCACATAATAAAAAACAAAATATTGATTGGTCCTGTAGTCGCACTCTCTGCTTCTCATTCTTCAGTAAAAGAATATGTTTTGAGCTCTAATTTGTACCATAAACAGTATTTTCATAAAAACAATTATCACAAATAATCACAGAAATCTGCATGTGTATGATTTTCTTTACACAATGATTTACTTTACAAAATGATTTGGCTATAAACAGTATTTCATTTACACAATGATTTTCCATAATAGCAACTGAAATCTGCATCTATTGGTTTAAGTTTAAAAAAAAAAGGGAAAAAGGAAAATTCATACCTTCAATCTGCAATTGTGGCTTCGAAGAACACAGTGCGGATAAAAATTTCTATTTTAGATTTTTTTTTTTAAATAAATTTTTTTTTCAAAAGCATGAAAGTAGCAATGGCTGCAGTACGCAAAGCAGGACAAAAAAAAACATAGGTAAAAAAAAGATACGCTTTTTTGGCCTGATTTAAATCGTATTATTAAAAAAGCGCACTGTTTTTTTCCATATATCTCTCTGTTCTCTCCCTATCTCGTTGCAACTAGTCTCTCTCTTGCCATTGCTCTTTTTCTTCAAGCAGTTGCCCAAATTTCTCTCTTGCTATTGCTCTGCTTTCTTCAAGCAATGGCCCCAATTTGAAGCTACGTTTTGCACTATCTCTTCAAGCCATTGAAGATTCAAGTAAGTTCTTCATTGATCCTTCTTAATGGTAAGGAGAACTGCCTCATTGTAATAAAGGGAAACATCTCTTCAAGAATAGTTGAAAATAATTTGCTAGATTTTCATAAAGATTTTAATTCATTTATCTTAAACTTTTGGTTTTATGCCTTATGCCCCAATATACTGAGAGTTCTTTATTTTTCAGTTTTATTTATGTATTTCCCTTTTCCCATGATGTTTTACCTCGAGCTTCAGAGAGTGAAAGACTTCTTGATAACAACATTTTGAGGTTGGAAGGCTTAAAAAAAATTGGTAGCAGGGTAAGGTTAGGGTGTGTATTGTGTATTTTATTTTGCTTCTAATATGCTATCGCACTCTTCCTGATCCATATAGTTTACTCTAAGATGGTTTCTACTAGATATAAATGTCAATTTAGTATGTGTTTTAATGATTATTCTCTTATAATTATGGGTAAAATACTGAAAGTGTTATCCTACAATGTCTTTTTCTCTTTGCTTCTGGGAATTTTTAGAAATAGTTGCTATGAAGTTGATCAGTTCCTATGTGGGATCTTTATATTAGATAAACCCCAAGGGATCAAATTTGTATTCTAGAGAAGCATTGTCATGTCTTCTAATGCATACTTATGATATTAAATTGTTATTTTTGTCATAATTTGTACATATTATCACAAGGGGATTAGAAAAGGCGTGTCTTTATTTAACACAAGGTGGTGTTTGTTTTGATTTCTCTCTTTGGTTTTTATTTAAGATCAGATTCGAAGTAAGTAAACGATGAAAGGCGGAAGAAAGAATCTGAAAAGAGCAGTTATGGAAGAACATGTATCCCTTCAAGATGGCCTGCGCATAATGCAGGTAGTATCTCTTCGTGGTTCAAATCTCATTGAGGTGGGTGCTTTTACTTCCATGATTTCTCTTTCTGTTGAGTGGAAAAATTTCACATGGCATGCCCTCTCATTAAATTTATTTGTTTTATTGTTTTTTTGTATTTTTGACTTGATGGGTCTAGTAGGATACTTGTGTTTAGTAAACAAGTCAATTGAGATTGCATGGATGTGCGTTGAGGTGGTTCTTATTTGTTTCAAATTCCAATATTTGGATCTTATGGAGAATTTGTGTTTATCATGGATTTGCATAGTTTCACTCCATTTATTTGGATGAACTTTTGGTATGGGTATAATTCAAGCCCATGCATTTAACAATGCATGTAGTGTAGAAGACCCACTTACACCCAATTGCATTATTCATAGCAGTCCCCAAAGAACGAGGATATTTTCGAAGAATATAAAAGTGAAATATATCCTCCTCAAGTATTGATTCTTTATAAAGCGGACTTTTCTCATTTGCATAATGAAAATGTGGAGCCACGCTATTGATGGAATGTTGGTGCTCAATTTTAATGGTAGCTCTTTTGAAAATCTGTGTGAACAGTAGGGCAGGCTAACTTGAGTTGGGGTTCTATGGAGGTGGAAGTTCGATATCTTCTTAATAGGTTTAACACATCCATCTGCTCCTTTTCTGATGCAGGAGAACTTGAAGAAACATAGAAAAATCAGTCAGAAGCACTTTGACACAAGCAATTTTGGAGAAACCTTAAGGTTTTCTCCCACCTAGGCTTAGGCTTCTTTTACAAGACAAAGTCTTTCTTTTCTTAAAGAGGAATATATGAATGCCTCTCCAGCCCACCATGCCTTTATTTATATTGAAAAATTATTGTTTTAGACAATAGTTGTCCATACAATTTAAATTTTGACCAAAAGGTCTTAACGTAAATATAACTTGAAACTAAACTCCCTAACTTTAATTAAAGGGAAACATTTAGTTGCAACATTAAAAAATCCATCAAAAAAGGTTGTTTTAATGTTGAAAGACCTTCTAATTGATCATCTCGACATCTAGATGTATGAATGTGTAAAAAAAAAGATTTTGAGTCCCTAAAATAGTGCATCTTGCAACACATTATCTAGACCGTCCATTTTCAAGATTTTCACATATTTATAGATCTACATGATTTTAACCATTTTTGAAGTTTAAAATTTTATAATTAGATATGAAAATACATTTTTAGATAATCCTAATATTTTTCTACACCAAAATTAGATGTTATAATAAAATTTGGAGGTGAGCCTTACTTTGATTGTTTTAGGTTGCAACCTTATTGAAACTGCACCCTTAGTTAAAATATCTAAAAAATACCTAACTGTTCCAGCAATGAAATAATACATAAAGACATATGAAATAGCCTCAAATAACTAAAAATCAACACCCAAACTATCTATTGCTTTTCTTGTTCTTCTTGGGAACCCTCCTAGGGTTTTCATCCTCCAAATATGAGCGAAAATTAGGAGGAATCTGTCGCTCCAAAAGAAGATACTCGTGGCTACTTATTATGCTCTGATCTCTATAATTTTTTGGCTCCTTGTGTGAGAGATTCTCTATATCCGATTGACTAGGCCACTATGGATGATTTCTTGTCATTGTTGAACATAGACATCATGGGTAAAATCGGATAATTAGTTTGTTCTATGTGGTAGTCTTTCACCATGAAATCGATGAAAAGGAAGATTCGATAACTAGGTGGGACTTGGGAGAAACTACAAGTGGATTGAGCATCCAGAATACCTTTTGTTCTTTTTAGTTATTAGTTACTTACCTACTGTACTCCTTAAATAATAAACCTTTATAAAGAGACAAAAGTGTAAGAACTAACAGGAGTCTTTATTGGTGGCCAAAATCTCGAAGCCCTTAACAATTAATTTTTTGAACCAACAACACAAGTAAAAACTTAAGGAGCAATTATGATGTTGGTGTTCTTTTAAGCTCACTATAGTGTGGAGTTCCCATTGACCAATTGCTTGGATGTGCTATTATGTTCTTTGTGTACTCATGCAGCCATCCTCATTATAAGAATTCTTGTAGCAGTTAACTTTTTGTTTGTTCTGGTATTCTTATATTGATATTTGTATGAGTCGGGATATTGTGTAAATGTCTATTTTGATAGGATGGACTATTTAGGAGGTGCTAGCGAGGATTGTTAATTTTTGAAATTTCCTATGAAGAGAGTTTATTTATAACTGAGTATTATGAACTTTATACATTTATGTGATAAAATCAAGTGGGAGAAAAAACTTTAGCATCTTATTTATTAGTTTGTGTGTTTGGAAATTCTTTCATGTTTTGGAAAGCCAAATGCAGTAAATCATTGTTGTCATTGTTTCTTCTTTAGGGAACCCATTGTAATTAATTATTGTTGTCATTTTCGTTTCGTCACTCTATTCCTATCAAGTAGTTTCTTTCTTTTTTCTCCCTTTATCAACTTCTTTGTATATGTCATAAATTATTGTATCTTAACTATATGATGGTTTAACTATCCAATTATAAGATGGTATCACATAAAAATGAAACCTTCTTTGAAAAATAGCGTTACTGACAGAAGTGAGACCCTCTATAAATTGTTCTGGATATAAGTTATGTAGTTACACCTTTATCTATCTATGTCCCAGCAAGTGCTACAGTACTGAGCACCTTTTTTGTGTCTAGCAATTATTGGTGATTTGTTTGGAAAATACATTTATTCCTAAATAATTTCTGGTAACATAGTTTACTCTATAGAATATGTTTGCTAAAACTAATTTTGTATTTCATTTTGAAGCTTACAGGTAATGGATGATAGTGGGAGTAAATCTCTAGCAATATTCCCAGCCAAATTTCAGAAGAGTATTTGGATAAAACGAGGTATGTCTTTTCAAGGCAATCAGTTGTTTCAACTGCTTGTGATTTTTGAGCATTTTTCTCACGGCATTCATTTGACATGCCAAAAACTTATTTACTAGTCTTAGATAATCTTGGAATAAAGCCAATGAGAAATCATCTGGTCATGTTATGCTATCTCTTCCCAAACTGAAGCATCATTGTCAGAGCCTTTTCCCAACTAATTGGGGTCGGCTGAATATTATGAATAGTCAAATGCTGACTACCGCATCAATTTTTATGCCATAAGTAGCTAAATGGCGCATTATGCACCACATCCTCTTGAATTTCCTTTTTATCCATTACAGGGGCAGCTCAATCCCATCTAATCCAGGCCTAACTCTTGTTGCTACAGGATATTGAAACAAGGTGTGTCTTTTCAAGACAATCAGTTGTTTCAACTGCTTGTGATTTTTGAGCATTTTTCTCATGGCATTCATTTGACATGCCAAAAACTTATTTACTAGTCTTAGAATAAAGACTATCTAAGACTACCAGTTTTATTTGGATAAAACGAGTTGTCTTTTCAAGACAATCAATTGTTTCAACTGCTTTGATTTTTGAGTATTTTTCTTGTGGCATTCATTTGACATGCCAAAAACTTATTTACTAGTCTTAGATAGTCTTGGAATAAAGCCAATGAGAAATGCTGACTACCACATCAATTTTTATGCCATGAGTAGCCAAATGGCGCATTATGCACCACATCCTCCTGAATTTCCTTTCTATCCATTACAAGGGGCAGCTCAATACCATCTCTAATCCAGGCCTAACTCTTGTTTCTACAGGATATAGCCTCCTAGAAGAATCTATTCTTGTCTCTGAACAGTTTGGGGCTTCTCTAGGAAAGCTTCATCCACCTTGAACAAGTGGATATGATTAAACTTCTTCTAACATGGGGATTAAACTTCTTCTAACATGGGGACGAAATCCTCCTTTCGATCCCCTACTTCTTTTTAATAAGATTTTATGCCTTAGATAAGTTTGGTGATATGAGGTGTGAAGAATTGTCTGAAAAATACACAACACACACATGAACACATATACATATACATAGATATGAATGAAAATGTATGTAACAAGACCATTTACTTTTGATATGAGGAGGGGTGACAGTGATAATTGATCATTAGATGTGAAATCAGGTAATTGTGGATCTGCCATTGACTGGGTACAAAGTCCAAAATGAAATTCCTAGAAGGGTGTGACACGCTTCAATTAGTTGGATTTCGCATCTAATGGCTAAGAATTATTTTTACCTGCTTTTACCAAAAGTAAATGGTCTTATAGTATACATTCCCATCCCCGATATGTGTGTGATCTTATAAATTTTATTTCTTGCTGTCATAGGTAATTTCTGTATTACTTTCTATTGAAGTCCTAGTATTTCATTGGTTGCTTGCTTTATTTAGGGAACTTTGTTGTGGTCGAAGGAAGTGGAAGTGAGAAAGCCCTTGAATCAGGCAATAAAATAACTTGTATGATATCGCAAGTGCTCTTCCATGAGCAAGTTCGTACACTTCAAAAATCTTCAGACTGGTAAGATTGCCTTGCATTTGCTAGATTTAAATTGCAGAGACCAAGTATTCTCTATATACCAAATGCAAAACAATGGTAATGCCAGTTATCAAGGAATAACAAATGTGAAACGAATTTGCAAATTGTGCTTCATATCTGATATCGTGCAATCAAATCTCTCCCATTTGATCTTGAATGTTTTCATATTTTGTTGTTTTTCTTGTGCACTTGTCATCCATGATTATGATATCCACATTTTAACTGCTGCTATTTTTAGTAGTGTATTCTTGATTCTTAATTCTTAATTCATTATATTTGTTTCAACCGTAAATGCAGGCCTGAGATTTTCAGAACGACTGCTTCTGTTGAGGCAAAAGACACAGAAAAAACGAACGAGCAAGTGGAAGAGACACATTGTTCAAGTGATGATGGCCTCCCCCCACTCGAAGCCAATCTGAACAGAGTGAGACCAGCTGAATTACTCACCGATTCGTGCTCGGATTCGGATGCTTAAGTGTAAGCAATTGCACAACTGGGTTGTTTGTTTCTCATTGCCACATTTTTGCGAGGTGGGGGATTTTTTTTATTGTTTTATCGTCAAGCGCAATGATGCACAGGAAGAGCTGGCAAAATATTATTATGATATCTTTCTATTGCTCCTTTTATATGTAATGCTCCCATCAAAAGAGCTTAAACCGTGTGGTACATATACCCCTGGCTACATGAGTATTTACAAAAAAGAAAAAGTTTCTATAAGGGCGAGGCTTTAAACAAATCAAAGCGCAAAAATTCATTAGAAGAAGTTGTTTCAATGCCCAAACTTCCTTAAATTCATCATCTCAACGTCAAGATGTACGGACTTGACAAAAAAATGTACTTTCAAGTGTTGAAAATAGTGAATCTTGTGATGTATTTTTGGCATATCAATTTACAAGATTTTCAAGTCTTCATAGATCTGGTAGATGTATATCATTTTTAAAATTTTAAATTTTATATTTTGATATGAAATAAACTTTCATGCCATCGCAAAGATTTCCGGTATTAGAACATCTTTCAACACTGTTTGAAGGCGTGTCTTACTTTGATGGTTTAGACCCTCGGCCTTATAAAAACCCCTCTATTCCACTCCTAAGGAAAAAGTTTATATAAGGTTGCAGTATTAAATGTAACCTTAAAATGTAGAATTATATATGCACCTTAAAAATCCATCGAAAAAAGTTGTTTTGATATTGAAAAACCCTCTAATTAATTACTAGATATATGAAAATGAAACAAAAAAAGATTTTGGGTCCCAAAAATAGTGTATCTTGCAACATATCATCTTGATTATCTATTTTTAAGATTTTCATATGATTATAAATCTGTTTGGTTAATATTTTCATATGATTATAAATCTGTTTGGTTTTAACCATTTTTAGAGTTTATAATTTTTAAATTAGTTATAAAAATAGATTTTAAAAACATCCTGTAATTTTTGTTTTTACACCAATATTAAATGTTATGATATAATTTGGAGGTGCGTCTTAATTGGATTGTCTAAGGTTGCAACCTTATAGAGACCACCACATGAAATGCTCCAAGGGCCATGATCTTAAACCGCCTCATGAGTATAGAATAGAGAATGTCAACGTAAACAAAAGAAAACTCGTGATTGTTCTGGTTCCTTATAGCTTGTTGGAAAAGCATATTTCTGATTTAGGACTCGGAGAAAGCCCGAGTATTTATACGACTTGCGCTACACCAATTACAAAATTAGTGATTTAAGACTCTAAATCGAATGAAAAAATAGTTGAGGAGGTATTGGAGATTTGGTTGAGAAAACTGCGCAAGCAAAAAAAATTAAAGAATTGAGAAAAATAAAAAATTGAAAAAAAAAATAAAAAAATAGTAGGGTTGGATCTCGGCCGGTTCCAGAGCTGATTCCAGTGGGAACTTGCCGGTTCTTGATATGTTTGGGGAACAGAATTGGTCCCCTCAATTGGGAACTTGCCGGTTCTTGATATGTTTGGGGAACAGAATTGGTCCCCTCAATTCTCGATTTAGATCGGTCAATTCTAACCCAAATCGATGTTTTTTTAAACATGAAGTAATATTTTTCAAAGTATCCTCTATGTGGAGAACACTATAAACCTTGTAGGCATCTGTAACAAAATTGTAATTGATTAGAATAATATTTTTAGTACCCAATTTGTTCGGGGATTGTCTATAAAGAGATCATGTATTTTTATTACAAGGAGATCACATCTATTTTCACTCATTACATATCAAATTGGATGGTTTGGGATAAGTCATGAAGCTCGATAATTTTGTTTTTTGGAACTTTATATCTATTCAATGGTACTCTTACAGGTTACAACCGTCCATTTTGAAATTTAAAGGACAAGAGTGAATGTGACTTCTTTGTACAAAAAGTAAATAAAGGACAAGTGAATGCGACTTCTTTGTACAAAAGTAAATAATATCTTTGTATAGTTTTCCCTTAGTAAGTTAGTAGATTTGGCTCATCATCCAAGTGATTTTGAGTGTAGTTTAATACTTTTATATGATATATACTCTAAAATTGAAGGGCAAGAAATGTTTACCGACAACATTCAAGGAACATTAATGATACTATTTATGTTACGCACAAGGTGGTTACTATTAATCTAGACTATTGGATGTCAAAATGGGTGTTTGTATTTATTTTATTGACCAAGCTTAAAGTTAAAATTTTTTTTTTTGAACTTTGTGACACACCTAAGCTATTAGATTTCACATCGGATGGTTGTAAGTAATTGTGATCTCTTTGTAAAAAAGGTAAATGGTCTCATTGTATACAATATCTTTTAATAAATTTTTTTTAAAAAAAAAAAGAAAAAAAAAAGAAAAAGAAAAAAAAGAGCATAACCTGAATGTAAATTACCTCATGAATCTTGATGAAATAATGAAAATATTTTTGGATCTGAATGTAAATTTGTCTCTCATTCCATATTGAGTGAGAGAGGGAGAGCCAATAGAAAAGTTAGTGATTTTGGCCGTTGTTCCCCCACCTCCGATCGCTTCAAACTCCAATTATCCTTGACTCCAAACCTAATTCCGAACCAGAACCCGAACTTCCCATCTTGTGGCCTTCGCTCACAACCGAACTCAAACCCAAACTTCTAGATTTGCGGTCTTTCTCTCTCCACCATCCCCTCAGTTGTGTGGTGTTTCTCTCTCTATCACCCCCACCAACCTGAGGCCCAAATTTCACGCCCAATCAACAAGAAAACCATTGGAAGATCAAAGAAGAAAATGGTGAAACCAAGAAGCAAACTTCACTGGACCCAAGCTGGTCTTTCTCTCTCTCTACATTTGTTCTTTCCCTCTCTACATTTGTTCTTTCTCTCTCTAGTTGCTCTCGCTTCACCATCAAGAAGAGGGAGAAACCAAAACCATAGGTGGCCATGGCTTCGGCAATTACAGGGAGTTCAGTGAGGGGCCTGAACTGGGCTCAGTCATTTGGTGGCGATGAGAGAGCCTGGCTCACAAAAGCGGGCACGAGGTGGGTTCGGTGCGCCAGACCGAGCAGGGCGAGGCCCATGATGGGTAACGTGAATGAGGGCAAGGGCCTCTTTGCTCCACTGGTTGTCGTGGCTAGGAACATTATAGGCAAGAAAAGGTTTAACCAGCTCAGGGGCAAGGCCATCGCACTTCACTCTCAGGTGAACACAATTGACTGCAATTTTCTGTTTCTCTAGACACAATTGACTAGAACTCTCTCTCTGTTCTTTTGCTGAGGGTGTGTATGGATCCTAGTTTTCAGATTTTGCTTTTGGATGAATGGCAAAACCATGTAACTCTCTGTTTTTCTCTGTGTTTTCCTTTGCCCTGTATGTACATGGATCCATTTTTTCTGAGTTGGGTATTGGAGTAAAACTCTCTCTCGATGCGAATTGCAATGCTAGATTGGTTCTTCCTCTCTCTTTTTCCTGGGCTAAACCCCATCGATTTTCAAGAGATTTTTTTTAAAAAAAAATTGCGGCGAATTTGATGGTTTAAGAAAAGATAAAAGTACGAATTTCATTGGATACATAAAAACTCTCAGCATTTTAGTGAACTACATTTGTCTCTTTTAGTGAACTAAATTTGGTTAATTTCATCCACATCTAAGTCTCAACACCTTAATTCATATATTCTGAAATTTTGAACTTGCCTTAGTTATATCAGAGTTGTAAATTTGGACCCTGCTGAAGTACTCGGCCTCAGCATGGTGTCGACATGAGTTCTGATGTACAGGCCCGGGGTTAGGGGACCTATACAATACTCGGGCGAGTCGGGTGCTGTATGGACTCAGGCAGACTCACCCGAGTAACCTAGCAAGGGCAAAGGTAGAATCCCGAGCTTGATTCGAGTTCTCGAACACTGAATTATATATAATGGTGGATGAAATTACTATTATTTTTTCCTTGAGCCTGTCAAATAATGTTATTTTTCGAAATTCATTGTTGCTGAAGCTTGATTGAGTCTGAAATTAAGGATTTTGCTATTTTTTTCTGAAAATTTGTGCAAGTGCTTTGTTATATTAAATGGTAGACAAATTATACTTTCTTTTTTGAGAAATTTATCAAAATAGCCATAATAGATGTAATATTCAACAATGTACCTTTTGGAACTATTCCAACTCAAGATCAATGTGTTTTTATGGGTTTTTTGAAATTAAGTCAAAAGAATGGACAAAATGTTAAATTGTTAATCTCTCATGAGAAATTTGATAAATTTCAATCTGAAATTAATGATTTTGTTGAAATCTGTTTAAATTCCGACAACATAGTTATATTATGTTATTGACCCTGTTTTAATTTGTCCTTATTTTTGCTTTATTGATTGTTAAAATTTATCTTTATCTTTTTTTTAAAAAAAGTAATATTGTGGTTTTTTTTTTTCTTTCAGGTAATAAATGAATTTTGTAAATCGATTGGAGCTGATGGGAAACAGAGGCAGGGGCTCATCAGGCTGGCTAAGAAGAATGGAGAGAGGCTGGGCTTCCTTGCTTAATAAAAGGAAACATCTTTTTTTAATATAATCAAAGAAAACTTTTGATTCAGTGTTTGTTTCCCACAAAAATGGTGATACATCTAAGTTTTATTAGGGTTTCCATTGCAAAGAGATTGTATATATTCTCAGCTGGTGAAATGTTTTCCTTCTCCCTCTTGTATCGCTTCTACTTCTCACTCGATCTGTTGCTTTGTTGTTTCCTCTTTCATTGACTTGCTATGCTCTTTAAACGATTTTAAAAAGTCGGACTCGCGCTTGCTAGGGTCTCAGCTCAAGATCCCCATCCTCGTACTGATGGGGCAGTCCGAGGATGGGGACCTTAGACCAAGGCTTGCTTAGTCCATAGTGCGGTTTGAGTTCTTCATCCTCTATACTTTCATCAAAAATAAGAAGTAAAGAGTGGTCGGAGGATGAGGACCTTAGACCACTTAGGAACTAAGGCATGTTCTCTTCGAACTATTTTTTTTCTCAAAAAATAAAAAACAAACATTGGTATGAGGATGGGGAACTCGGAATGCTATTTGGACTGAGCAGAACTCAATTTCAGAGCGGTCCAAGGTCCCCCATCATCGGACCGTTGTGTGTAGTTTTTAATTTTTTTTTTTTGAAAACAAGAGCTGTCCGAGGATGAGGACCTCAGATCGCCCTATGTTTCTAATATTTTGAAGAAACAAATTTGGTCCGAACTTCCATCCCCAGATGGCACATTTCTACAAAAAAACAAAAGGAAAAAAAAAAAGAAGAAAAAAGCAAAAAGGAAAACTAAAAGTTTTGAGGTAACGATCCTCAGTCCGATGCCTCGGAATGAACTTTCAAACTGAAGATTTCACATTCAAAGGAGCTATATTTCCATTAGCTTTGGAACTGAAGCTTTCACGTTATCTTTTTCTTGTATATGTATTAAAAAAAAAAATACGGAGAAACCAAGAAAACAAAAAATGAAGTAGCCTGCAGTCTCTCTACATGTCCACTGCCCAGGGATCCTTCAACTCGTCTCCTTCTTGGCTGAAAATGGAACTGTGGCTGTCCACCGACTAGGTAGAGCAAATAAGCCCTCGTGTGCCACTCAATAACCGCCTGTGTAGCGCCATTAGGTAGCTCCATGAATTTCACTGCCAACCAGCAGAACTTTAAGTGTTAGCAGTCTTCCCTCTCCGAGAGATTTGTTTAAGTATGTGGTGTAGGGCCAATAGTCTTTTTCCGGCACACGATTACAAGTTGGTGAATCCACCATACATCATACAACATCGGCATCATCTCTCCGATACATGTCGTCAGATGGGTGGTGTTTATTTTAGGGCGCCACCTTTCTTACATAGCCACCATCAACGGATGATCACTATTTCTTGGATGTAGTTTGCTAGTTCCACCAATAGCAATAACCTTGCCCTTTCCACAATCTCACGCAGCTCGTTTCGTTTGCTCATTTGTAATGGGTCATGCCTTGTAAAGGACTCGTTTATATAAATTCTTAATCTCTCCTGTAATAAATAAATAATGGCACTTTAGTGTGTATATCATTAACAACAACGTGCATACGATATGATGTGAAATTTAATAGCATGCATCTTCCAGTAAAAAAATTGACATAAATGAGAATATTTGTCTGTACTTTTCCTTTAAACACCATTTCAGAGATCTGATCCTCTTTTAGCACCTCGTCCTTTGATCCTCCATCACTATTCCCTTAGTTTGTGAACTTATCTACGATACTAAATTCCAATTTTTTTTAAAATCACTATATATATATGCATTCAAGCACAAAAAATTGAGCAAAATAGAGATTTCCAAAAGATGACATGGTAATAATTAAACAGATAAAATGCTAAGAAGTTCGGCATGGATCTAGGACATGTGTTGCATACCAATCAACACATACATTACAAATAATATCGAAATTAGTACAATATATTAATGGATTATCTTACGATCAATTTTAAGTTAGGAACTCAGGTTTCTACGTATAACACCGGTCATGAAAGCATATGCGAAATTAATGTCCCAATGGTGAGGCTTCAAACTATTTTCATGTTATTGGCATTGTCCGGGCAGCTTACATAATGCAGGAACCAGGTCTGAAAAATATCCTTTACTTCCAACTTCTGAGAATCGCATTAAAGAAATGCTGAAACCATTTACTTCCAAGTTCCAACTTTTAAGAATTAACTGAAAGCCATTCCAGATGAAGTGAATTTCCAAAAAGTAAAAAAAAAAAAAACACTAGCGAGGGAAAAATAGAAATTAAAATAACTAGTTAATTACAAATATAAAAAACAGAGAATAAAATGGAGGATTAAGAATAAAATGGAAGATTGCAGTGAATGCAAATACTGTATTGTTCTTCTTTGTTTTTTCCATCCAAAAAATGCAAAAAAATAGTAACCAACTAATCCAATGTACAAGAGAGATAAATTACAAAGGCCCACTAAATTCACAATGAGCAAGAAATGAAACAAATGAAATAAAAGAAATAGAGTAAGAACCGCACAATATCAAGATGTTCAGGTTACTTCTAAAATTAGAAATAAAAAAGTGAAATAAACCCTAATCTCAGTCAAATTTATCGAAAATATAGAAGGAGATCATGAACAAATTCAGATTTGGGGGTGGGGGTGGGGGCAACAAGATAGAGCAATTCACTACCTGGACTGATGAAGATATATGTCAAAAAACTTTCAATTTGAGCTTGCACATTATTGAATGACAAAATTTAAAAATAACTTGCATGTATAACTAAAAAACTTAAAAAACAAACTACTTGTTTTCAGTTAGATTTAAAAAATGAAAAATAAAAAAATCCTTATTTGTCAAAAAAAAAAATTTCATGGTTTGATTGATTTTACCTCATAATTTTTAGAGAGTTTTGGTAATTTTTGAGGTACTAGTACCGATTGAGCATGAGACATTATTAAATAACTAAATTAAAAAATATATTATATGCAAAAATGAAAATATAAACACAAACGGATGATTTTCAATTAGATTTAAAACAGAAAAACTCTTATATGTCAAAAAAGAACTTCATGGTTTGGTTGATTTTTCGTCACAATTTTTAGTAATTTCTGTTATATTTTGGGGTGATATTATAGATTATGGAAATCCCAAATCATCTCCTTTTCAATTGCAATAAAAAATATACAATTCCACTTTCAAACCCTAACATCAAATCTTACCATCCAAGTTTCCCAAAAACTACAAAAAATGAAAAAAAAAAAAAAAATTCACCTAAAATCGGATTCCTACCGTAATCACGGTTGTATGGCCGTAAATCCTCCCGTGGATGCTCGGGACGGTCGACAGCCTAAATAGAGAGAGAGAGAGAAAGAGAGAGAGAGAGAGTGAAAACAAAAGAAAACCCAACATGGGGTTCAAAAAAAGAAAAAAAAAAAAACAGTAAGAGGATGGCATCCTCGGAATGAATGGCAGTTTTGAAATAAATAAAAAAAAGCGGATGACCGACCTTCCGCATAAATTTTGTCTAAAATGGACCCATTTCGTAATTTAGGTAAATAAATCGTGTGTAGTAAATAGCCAAAAAAAAAAAAAGACGTTTTAGTGAACTGTAGGCCAAGCCTTTGAACCACATCCCGGACATCCGAGCAATAGTTACTCTCGAGCCCTAACCCTAGCTCTTAGCTACGGAAACCCAAGAATCAACCTAGGGCTTCATTAGACCTTACCCAATTACCACCCTAGCTTATATCCAAAAGACCCTACGCACTCCATTAACCCACCCTAGAGCCGAATCCTAAGTCAACCATAACACTCAAACTTTTGCCTCTGAACCAAATCAATCCAAAACTTGGTAAAACATAACTCGACTGGTAGGCGCCTTAGTCGTCAATATTCAGTCCAATATCTGCCTGGGTCCAACTACGAGTGCCAGGCTTGTGCGCCCACCTAACTTCCAAGCCATTAGGACCAACATTGGCTAGAGCCCAGCTCGAAACAACATAGCTAGACTGGGTTTAGGTTGGGTCCAACTACGAGTGCAAGGCTTGTGGGCCCACCCACCTAACTTCCAAGCCACTAGGATCAACATTGGCTAGAGCCTAGCTCGAAACAACATAGCTAGACTAGATTTAGGTAGGGCCCAAAAATTTAGTTCCGACTTGCGTCACTCCCTCAATGAATCATAATAATGAGGCTTGAGCGCGGACCAAAATCACAAGCATGAGGCTGTAACCTTGACGGTTGGGAAAAGGGTACAGCCTCATGAAATCTTTTCTTTAATGTCATCAGATTCGCGAGGTTGTAGTCTTTGGATTTTCGGCCTGGAGCTCTGGTGTATCTTATTTGGCTTGCTTTGGTCGAAACACATGATTGTCCTTTATACTTTTTATTGAGTAATTCATGTATGGACACAAGAAAACAAAGGAAAATATAAAATGGGTCAATTTTGAGTGAAAATTATGTGGAAGGCCGGTCAATTTTATTTGTTTTTAAAATTTCCATCCTCGGAACTCTTTTCATATATATATATATATATATATATTTTTAGGCTTTTTGTTAATAGGGCAATGCTCATTCAAGAAGGCAGTATGAGGTTAGCATCGCCATACCACCTTATTTGTTAACAAACAAATGAGCTAATATGGTATGAGGATGCCAACCTCGAACCACCCTGAAGAGCACTAGAGAAGTCGGTCCAAGAATGGATAGCTCGGATTGCCTCTGAATGCTTAACAAAGTCGGTCTTTACGGTCTGAAGATGCCAACCTCGAGCCCCTTTGATGAGCACCACAGAAGGCAGTCTAATGATGCTAACATTATACCGACTGAGCACTACCCCAAACAATAGGGCACAACCCTATTATCGAAGAAAAAATTCAAAAAATAAAAAATAAAATGCAGTCCAAGGATGGTATCCAAGGTTCGAGGGGCAATTTTGAAAAAATAAAAACCTCAGGTTGATCGACCTTCTGTGTAATTTTAACCTAAAATTGATTCATTTTGTATTTTAGCATTTTTTTATATTCGTACATAAGTAATTCACTCTTTTTTACTTTTTTTTTATATAATTTCATATAAATATGTACTTTGTTTATATATATTTTTTGTTCGAGGGGCAATTTTGAAAAAATAAAAACCTTAGGTTGATCGACTTTTTGTGTAATTTTAACCTAAAATTGACTCATTTCGTATTTTAGCATTTTTATGTCCGTACGTACGTAATTCACTCTTTTTTACTTTTTTTTTTAATTATAATTTTTGTTTATGTATATTTTTTTAAATTACATCGTTTTTCTTACCAAACTGAAGAAAAAAGGTTTCGTAGTATTTTAAATTAGCTAAGACGCGGGAAGGTAATGTGACTAAGAGAAATCTAGTTCTATGGGGAATTTGGGCTTGGGCTTGACTGGTTTAACTACCAAAAAAAAAAGAAAAAAATCTATTTCTACAGGCTTGATTCTTACATCTTTAGGCCTCTCTCTCAGCCTCAACGTGGGTCTTCCTTCTCTCTCTCTTAATTTAGGATCATCTCTCTCTCGAGTAAGAGAAAGAGAGAGAGAAATCTATTTCTGTGGGCGTGGTTCTTAACGTTTTTTACTATCTTTGGATCTCTCCCTCTCATCCTCAACGTGGCTCTCCCCTTCTCTCTCTCTCTCTTTAAGCCAGCTAAAAATTAAATAAGAAGGTAAAGCATCATTAGCCTAAGAGTCAAGTAGCAGGGAAATCAGTGGGATCCTTCTGTGTATTTTTGATGCTCTCTCTCTCTTCTCTCCTTCATCTCTGAGCCCCTCTCTCTCCCTGTAACTTTCTCTCCATCCCTGAACATTTTTGGAACTCTTATTCTCTCAGTATGTTGCAAAAACCAGTAACCTCGAGAAAGAGGAACCAATTGCATGAAGCCTCATCTTCAACAGTGGAGGCCAACACCTCTCGCTTTCAAGAAATTTCTTCCATTGAAAACAACGAAGTTGAAGATCGTACGGTTGTCTCTCTTCCGCAGCTCCCAAATGACATTATTGACAGGATTATTGTGAAACTCCCTCTAGAACCGATTTGTAGATTCAAATCAGTCTGCAAGTCATGGGAGCATCATCTCTCATCTCGCAATTTTGGTGCAATGCGCGCTCGTTCTATGCACATGCCTGCACAAACTTTCGGAGTAATTTCTGTACTGTCTAGGTTCTACTTCCTCCGCTCTCTGAGCCAGCCAAATGCGAATGTTTCCCTAAGTAAACTCAAGCTCAATGCAGGAGACGTTATGACGAAGGATATGTATGCGAGTAATGGAATGATTTGTTTTGATGATTCAAATGGTATATTTATCTGCAACCCTGTCGAAAAAGAACTCATTGCCATTCCGAGAATCCTGAAATGGGGACTCGAGATTCGAGGGTTTTATTTCGACCCTGTGAGACATAGTTACAAGATACTGATGTGGCATTGGTATCCCGGTTTGTGCAGTGCTGAACTCTTTATGTTCAGTTCAAACACCCAATTTTGGAAAGAAATTATCGTGGACTTTCGAGTGTTCGTGTTCCCCCAAAGGTCGGTGTGCATGGACTGCATGTTCTACATAATGTCGAGGTTCTTTGTGTTACCTTCAATATGGAAACCGAGGAATGGGCAAGAATTCCATTTCCTTCAAATTTCACCGGAGAAGTATGCAGCTTCGTGGAGTGGGATGGCCGGCTATGCCTAGTCCATGCACCAAAACGATTTGAGCTTGTGATATGGAGGGTGACAGAGATGATGCTTGAGAAAGTTATGCCTCTGTGTCTAGATAAAAGATACTATAGTCGAAGGATACGTCCTCACATTGATGATCTGGTTATGATCGGGCATGTTCGATTTCTCTTTATTGCTCGAGCCCTGACTAAAAGCATTGAGATCACTGCATATGATATAGAAGGCAATAAAACAGCAATTAACTGGAAATTCTGTTTAGACACCAAACTTGGTTGTGGTTCCTTATCTAGAATTTTTCCATTCACACCGACACTCTTGCATTGCGTGACTGTACTTGCGTGATGCGGTGAGGAATGGTAGAACAGTTCACGGTTATGCTTTTAACATCAAGATACATACAAGACGTTCTTACTATGTTCGATGTTGCCATCTGAAAAACATATTGGACTACAACAGGCAAATTGAGGACTTTCAGCAGGGCTTTTCAGTGCTTCTTACCTGACGGAAGAGCATAGCATTTACTGGGGAAAGGTTCCAACAAACTGTTTTTCCTTCTTTCTTCTTTTCTTATTATCTATTTGCATGAGTTGGGTTGTGATTTTATCAGGATGAGAGACTTTGAGATATGTTTTGATTAACTTATAATTTGGAGAAAGAATGGGCAATTGGTAAATGTCTACCGTATTAGATGTTCATATCAATGCATGCATGTTTAGGTGATCAGATAGATCCTTCTTGAAGCTTAAGCTTTGAAATGGAGTACTCAGTACTCAATTTTTCCTAGAATGTGCAATGATAGTTGACAATTGAAATATGATCTTAGATATGGTTTAGTTCTTGATCTAGGCTCCTGTAATTGGGGCCACTTAACAATGGAGTTCTGTTTTCCTTTTAGTGCTTGATGATATTGGAAATAATTGTTGGATTTTTCAATTAATTTTACTTTTGTTTGGATAATTTAAATAAGTGATTGTAGGGAAATCACTCCCATCCCCCATTCCCCTATCCCTCATTCTCTTTCCTGTTATTCACAGTTTATGCCGACATGCATGTAGGAATTTATTCATCCATGCAATTCAATATTCTCTTCCATTGTAATTTAGTGCTTCTTCCCGTTCAGTAATGGCGTCTGCATGTGCATATTGTGACCCACAATTTACATCCAATTGAATAGGAGTGCGTATTGTAATTCCTGTGTGATATAACTGCAAGTCCATCGGCGGGGAATGCCCACATTGTTGATGTGTCTGAAGATCCCCTCTTTCTGATCCACAAGTTAAAAAATCCCCTTTTCCTTCACTCCTTGAGATGAGCTTAGATATCATTCCAAGCCATCCATGATCAGGTTCTAACTCTAGGTAATAACTCGACTTCTCTTACAATGATTTTGGGATGTAATTCTCCATTATAGTGTGGACAATGAAAAGTTGCACTGTGGAAATATAGTATAGGTTGATACTTAGATGATATATAAACTTGGATCTTATTTTAATTGTTGTAAGGAGACACGATGATAAGGTTCCCATCTGCAATTGAATGATCAGAATTGTACATGAGGGTTTCAGTCAAAGTGTCGGGCTTTGCAAGTGTTTAATAATGCTGCACATACAAATCAATCGACATATTTTTCGTATGAATGATGGTTTTCATAACCTTTATAGTTTAGATTTTTGTCCAATCCGATTCTTGTGATTGAAGACCCAATTGGGATTCATGTTTCGGCTGTGAGCTGAGGCCATCTTGTCTTAATTCTGGTTCATTGCTAGGATGGACAGTAAACAAGCTTTTATGAAGGAACATACGGTGTTCATGAAGAATATTGTGCTTTCCTATAATCTAGGTTTTGCACAGCATGAGAGGGGAGGAAGGAATTCCAATCATACAATATACAATTTAAGTACGAAAAATTAGACATAAAACACACGATATGATGTTTATGGATAAGCTATGGCCAGGGCATACTATAGCTTTGGGACCTTCAATCAACTCACAATTCTTTCAAGTATGTTCCATCACTCTATAGATAGGTTTTCTCCTCTTTCCCTACTGTTGGAATCTCTTTTTTCTCTCTTACAATTCAAACCAAACACCACTTACATAGAGGAGTTTCCTCACTAGTTCCAATCTCATCCTTAAATGGTCTCAACCAACATGTCTATTTCTAGAAATCTCTTTGGTTACCTTATTGAAGGTACTTTTCGATTTCTTGCAGCAGACCATAATACCTTAGATAAACCCCAATTCACAATCTGACTTAAATATCCCTCGAGTTCTCTAGGCCTCTCTAATGGTTGTCACATTCTTATTTATTATATTCATGTTCCTTCAAAATCATTATATTCAACCCCTTCGATCTGTTATTCTGTCAAAAAAAAAAGAAAAAAAAGAAGATAATATTGCCTAAGCCAAGTAGATGTGATGCAAATAACCATGCTACAATCTGATTGATCCAAGTTCTCCGGTTTCTCTCTTTCCAGATCTCCCATAGCAAAGCAAGCATTATTATCCTCCAAATTACTTTTCATGATCAAAGTCAAGAAAGACAAAGAGCAATAAGCAATTGCACTGAATGTTCATAGTAAAAAGTTAATTTGATGGACATAAAATATGTAGTTTCATCTTGTTTGAAAAATAAACAAACATTGATGATGATATTGCCCCTTCTTCTTGGCTGATCTACAGTCAATAGTTTGTTTAAGCTTAACAACCAGGTAAAAACTTGAATTTTAAGAGGAACATGTAAATTCCATGCCTCTGCTAGATTTGGTTGATTCCACCACCAGCTCTGAGAAGATTGTACATTGAACAAATAGAAAAATAACCACCACTTGCAGGGTCTCGAATCAATTGATCCTTCTTATTCAGGCAATAGTACCATCCTTGCAAGCATTCTTGAGATTTATATAGTGTTGGATTACAACATCAGACATTTGGTAAATGAAAAGACCACAACATATCATAACCTGATCATGGAGCACGTCAACGACTCCGGTCATTATCACCAAACAGAGATCTCAGAAGCCTTTCCTCGATACATTTATCCTGAAACATCTCCGCGGCGTAAGTTTCCTTTACAAATAGGGGAGAGTAAAGGACTCGTCGTTACCATTTATGGTAACACCAATTTGCAGGCCAACGGGCCACCAATGGAGGTCACCAATTCGACCCGAAAGCTCTAAACTCATGACCTCCAATTTGACCCAAAAACCCTAAACTCATTCTTGATCACATGATTACGGGGTTGACGACCCCAAATTCTCACCGTTCTAAAATATCAGCAGAGGTCATTAATTCCATGTTGCAGAGAATCGAGCAACCACCTCATGGTATGCATGCTCACATAAACTAGGGTTTGGAGAGGGCTGCCAAGGTTTTGAATGATTACTGTTTGGCCATTACAGTAAGCAAATGAGTTTGTCTTTGGATTTCCTGAAATCAAGATTGAGTCGAGGGCACACAGGTGTAGTTTTCACAGAACTTTGCCGTGGTCTCTCTCTAGTGCTCTTTCTCTCTCCCCGTATCGCTATCTTTTGAGTGATGTCTATATTGCCTGTACTGCTCTCTCTCTCTTGCTCTTTAGAGTGATGTCTATGTCTTTCTCTCTTTCTAAGTGTTGCACTGTTGCTTGCAGGTGATTCTGTAGATAACGAAGAGAATGAAGGGATGAACTTTTACTTTCTCTCTAGAATGGTTGATCTTACTTTCTCTCTAGAATGGTTGATCTGACTTTTTCTCTCTAGATTAGTTGATCTTGTTGTTTTAACTTATTGGTAGCAAATAGGGAGCGTTCTTAGAGATCTTTGCTTTGGTGACTGAGGAGGTTTCTTGCTAAAGCATGGAGTTTTAGACAATTAGGGTTAGGCTTTTGGATAGATGGATTTTTTAAAATTAACCACTGCGCTAGTAAACAATTGTTAATATAACCGCCTCGTTGATTTCTTTAAGGTGGATTCACCATTTTAATGATATTTTCTCTTAACTTTATGAACTAAAAATAGTATTAAAATTAACATCTTATAGTCTTTTTTTCACATTCGAATAAGTTATTTTCAGAGGACTGATACTATTAGTAAAACATAATCACAATTTAATAACAAAATTAGTGATAAAATAATAATAAAACGAACACCTCACTTTTTCCAATATCAAGTTTCAATTAATTTTCTTTTTCTGATGGTTATGTTTCACTTATTATTTACATAGAGTTAAATTTAGGGTTTAGTATTTATCTACCTCACTTACACAAAAAAAAATATTTATCTACCTCAATGAGGAAAAGCGACAATGCATGTAATGGATATAGAGGCACACTTCAAATATCTTATTTCAGAAGTGCAGATCAGTTTTAAATCGTATGGCTTTGATTGGCAAACATTTGTTTTTAGTAATCGATTTTATTTGAATAATTTACAATGAAAAAAAATACTAGAAACTTTAGGTATCAGATTTTCTATTTTTACCAGAAAATAGGAGTTACAAATTCAATAAAATGGGTATTCATCCCAATCCTGTCACATGCATGCAGAAAAACTAATTCACTAGGATAGTACTGAGCAGGGAGAGAGAGTCATCTAATAGGCTCTTATTGAAGTGAACTCAAATTTTGACTGTGGTGGTGTTGGTTGGCAAAAATTTCATGTAGGGGTGGGTAACTGGTCGGGGTGACTCGCCAACTCGACTGATCAAACAGACTTGGGTCCAGGTTTGGGTCTTATTTTTGGGCTGGATGGATCGGATCCGGGTCTAGAAGTAGAGACCAAACTTCAGATCGGGCCGGTTTGAGTCTAGGCTGACCTGACCCAACCCATCCCGAATATTTTAGATGTGCTATTTATTTCATTATAATAATATTGTATAGAATATATTTATTTAGGTTGGTATGCTGTTTTCAATATCGAACAATGGGTTGCTCTGATATTCAAAGCATTAGATTGGCCTAGAAATAACAAAATTTTAAAAAAAGGAAAACAAAAAACTGGGTTCCTCTGATATTCAAAGCATTAGATTGGCCTA